GTAGGTGTATGTGTGTCAAAGTCCACAATCAAGAGAAGACTTCACCAGAGTGAATACAGAGGGTTCACCACAAGATGTAAACCATTGGTGAGCCTCAAAAACAGGAGGCCAGATTAGAGTTTGCCAAACGACATGTAAAAAAGCCTTCACAGTTCTGGAGCAACATCCTATGGACAGATGAGACCAAGATCAACTTGTACCAGAGTGCTGGGAAGAGAGGAGTATGGAGAAGGAAAGGAACTGCTCATGATCCTAAGCATACCACCTCATCAGTGAAGCATGGTGGTGGTAGTGTCATGGCGTTGGCATGTATGGCTGCCAATGGAACAGGTTCTCTTGTATTTATTGATGATGTGACTGCTGACAAAAGCAGCAGGATGAATTCTGAAGTGTTTCGGGCAATATTATCTGCTCATATTCAGCCAAATGCTTCAGAACTCATTGGACGCCGCTTCACAGATGCAGATGGACAATGACCCAAAGCATACTGCAAAAGCAACCAAAGAGTTTTTTAAGGGAAAGAAGTGGAATGTTATGCAATGGCCAAGTCAATCACCTGACCTGAATCCGATTGAGCATGCATTTCACTTGCTGAAGGGAAAATGCCCCAAGAACAAGCAGGAACTGAAGACAGTTGCAGTAGAGGCCTGGCAGAGCATCACCAGGGATGAAACCCAGCATCTGGTGATGTCTATGCATTCCAGACTTCAGGCTGTAATTGACTGCAAAGGATTTGCAACCAAGTATTAAAAAGTGAAAGTTTAACTTATGATTATTATTCTGTCCCATTACTTTTGGTCCCTTAACAAGTGGGTGGCACATATGCAAACTGTTGTAATTCCTACACCGTTCAACTGATTTGGATGTAAATACCCTCAAATTAAAGCTGACAGTCTGCAGTTAAGGCACATCTTGTTTGTTTCATTTCAAATCCATTGTGGTGGTGTATAGAGCCAAAAATATTAGAATTTTGTCGATGTCCCAATATTTATGGACCTGACTGTAGCTTGCCACCCTGACACAAACTGGTTGTGACTAAATTTAAGGAATATGGCTTATTATGCACAGTTAAAATGGGTTTGCAATGCATGCTACAAAGATTCTGAGCAAAGATAGGAAGTTGCTCAGTGCACTTGGTGAATGAGAACCATTGTCAAATATATATAAATATTAATGTGGCACTGTGCAGCATCCATACACACAGAATAGGAAGAGATATGGGAATTCCAGCCAGCATATAGGATGAGAGAAGTTTATGCTCCTAGATTGTAAGCTCGAAAGAGCAGGGCCCTCAAACCCCTCGTGTATCACATTGTATTGGTATTGTTCTGTCACATGTTCTGTCCCCCTTTGTAATGTACAGCGCTGAGCGAACTATTGGCGCTTTATAAATACTGTATAATAATAATAATAATAAAATATGCAGGGTCCATACATATAGAATAGGAATTAATGGTGAGAATGAAACCCAGCATGCACAAAAGAGTGTTGGTTTAGAATCCATTGATACATGCAGAATGGAAACTGATACTGCATACAACAGACATGTGGTGGGATGTTACATTTTATATACAAAACAAATTATTCTATTTGCTGTATATAACAAAAGTAGTAGTATGCAAAGGTCATATAAATATTTGACAACCTTTTTAGAAATTGGAAACCAAATGACACACTGCACATTTTACTGCATAAGAACTGATCAGGACTGTTTAAATAAAATATATAGAATGCCTAAAAAAATAAGGCAGTTGTTAAGTCAGTGGTGATTGAAAGGAACCAGTGGTGATCTGCACATCATATAGAGTCAGAAGTGAACAAAAACCCAGGTGACTCCATGATTTTTAGGGTAAGTTGATATGGCTGATTTTATACCAATTGCTAGAATCCACCATTCAGGAAAAGTAAGTGTTAACATTAGAGCAAGCCCTGCTAACAACATCTCCAAAAAATGCCAGTTGGAATTTGGTCTCCTTGGAAACCAAGCCAACAAATTCCAGGGACGTGAGAAGAAAAATAAAGGAGAGAAAATTGTGGAGAACAGAATGATGAAGGAACGCTATTCTAGAGTCTGTAGGTACTAAAATGTAAGCAAAGCGTCCTTTAGGGTGTGATTGGGTGCTGCTCAGCATAGGGCTTCATCTGAAAACCCTTCCTGTTTGCTTTTGATGCTTTGATAAAAAATTCTATGCAGCACAAGGGCATAATACAGGAGAAAGAGGTGTGTGTGTTGTCAGGTTTTATTAAGTGCTGGTTTGGCAGGAGAAGGGGGATGACATACAGTGTATTCAGACCCCCATCACTTTTTTTCAATTTTGTTATGTTGCAGCCTGGTACTACAATTGTTTTAATTTTTTTTTTTTTTCCCTCAATTTACACCTGGTACCCCATAATAACAAAGTGAAAACAGAATTTTAGAAATGTCTGTGGAGTTATTTAAAAAGAAAAAACAGAAATACCACATGTAGTTAAGTATTTAGACCCTGTACTCAGCACAGTACTTTTTTGAGCCACCTCTGGCAGCAATTTGCAACCTCAAGTCCTTTTTTGGATATGATACAACAAGCTTTGCACACCTGGGTTGGGATTTTCTGCCATTCTTCTTTGTAAATCCTCTCAAGCTCCGTCAGGTTGGATGGGGACTATTGGACAGCCATTCTCAGGTCTCTCCAGAGATGGTTAATAGACTTCCAAGTCAGGGCTCTGGTTGGGCCACCCTTGGATATTCAGAGTTGTCCCTAAGCCACTCTTGTGTTGTCTTGGCTGTGTGCTTAAGATCATGTCATGTTGGAAGGTGAACCTTCAGCCCAACCTGAGGTCCTGAGTACTGTGGAACAAGTTTTCATTGAGGATAACTCTGTACTTGGTGCCATTCAGCTTTCCCTCAACCCTGACCAGTCTCTCAGTCCCTTTATGATGAAAAATGCCCCCACAGCGTGTTGCTGCCACCACCATTCTTCACTATTGGGATGGTAATGGGCAGGTGACGAGCCATGCCTGGTTTCCTTTAGATATAACATTTTAGAATTGAGGCCAAACAGATCAATCTTGGTTTCATCAGACCAGAGAATCTTTTTCCTCGGTCTGAGAGTCCTTCAGGTGCTTTTTTGCAAGCTTCAAGTGGGCTTTCATGTGTTTTTGTACTGAGGAGAGGCTTTCAAGTCTTGTTCCAAAGGATTTATATACTTATGCCAATTGGATATTTCTGTCATTCCATTTTTATACATTTGCAAACATTTCTAAAATTCTTTTTTCACTTTGTCATTATGAGGTACTGAGTGTAGAATATTGAAAAAAAATGAATTTAAACAACTATAGTAAGAGGCTGCAATAAACCAAAATTGAAACAAGTGCACTGTATATTATAGCACTTTCCTTTCAGGTTCCAGAAATGTCGAAAGATGTCCCCAGGTTATGCAGTTCCAGGCACCAGGCAGGTGGTGTGGGTGTGGTTTTTTTGTTTTTTTTTTTTTTTTTTTTTTTTTTTTTTTTTCTACATTTAGCCCAACTTTGGGCAATTGACTTCAGTGCAAAATTGTGCCTCCTACGAAATACCTTGGACTTTTTTGTACTTTCCTGGTGTTTTTCGGGCCTTAAGAAATTAGATTGCCCGTACATCAGGACTGATCAATTGTCAGATCTATCTATCTAATCTATGTTTATGGACTCTACAACTTTCCTACAGACTAAATAATATACACTAATTTGGGGTATTTTCACCCAAAAAATTTAGCAGAATACATTTTGGCCTAAATTTATGAAAGGTTATTTATTTGCAAAATTTTGTAACAAATTAAAAAAATATGGGGCGGGGGTTGTTTATTTAGCAAACAAAAAAAAAACTCAGTGGTGATTTAAATACCACCAAAATAAAACTCTATTTGTGTGACAAAAATGATTTTTTTTTTTATGGGTACAGTGTTGCATGACTGAGCAATTGCCATTCAAAGTGCAATAACATTGAAAATTTGGCCTGGGCAAGAAGGGGATAAAAGTACCCGGTATTGAAATGGTTAAAGTACTTTATTGACTTTAATGTATAGACTGTTTGTTTTCTCCTTAATGTATAACTAAGGTAAAACCTTATTTATTTATTTTTTGGATAGAGTGGAGATGGATTATAACACCTGTCAGATTTCTTTTGCGGTCTGTGTCCCCATTAGGGATATTCACCCTTTCTATTTGTCCTGTTTTACCGTTATCCATGGGAGAAAAAAAAAAAAAAAATTGGGGTTGTTCCCAGAAACATAATAGAGGGGAAATCTTTCAATGGTGACACTAGTTCTTGTGGCCTGGGGGCCCCCAAGGGATTCCCTCAATTTACAGGGATTTCCTCTCACTTCCTGTTTTGGCAATGAGGCAGGAAGGGAAGGTAAATCTCCCCAATGGGACAAATGGCACAAAAAAAAAAAATCTGAAAGATGTTCTAACCCTCCCTTATACTATCCAAATTGAGGGGGGGGGGGGGGTAGAGTCTTGTCTGTAGTTCTAGTCTAACTGAATGCATGGTGAACTGGACCTTAAAACCAGTTCAATGCAGAGGGGAACAGGCAGGTGGTTCATAGGCTCACCCTTGCTGGCACCTCCTCCTGTGCAGCATACCATACATATGAGATTCAAGCAGCTGCATTCGCTTTGTGCATATTCATCCTATTGTAAATGGGGTGAATGTGAATCCAGTTCCCAGAGTTAGGTTTTTGCTAATGCAAACATTAATGTAGTACACCATTCAAACTGACAAATCTTGCTTTCTTTCACAATAATCAGGCATTTAGGTCCCTTGTACTATATTAGATACATGCATATAGCTAATGAAATGGTCCTAGCACAGATGCAGCAAGGAGATAAAACTCATATACTACACACATTTATAAGTAAGGTTGACACAGGTGATCCTGGAATCTTTTTTTATTAGTGATAAGGCAGACAAATGAGGTTGTCTTGCATGTGATCTGGCAAACCTATAATTTTTTTATTCTGACCAAAATTTATCTCACTAGGGTAACGCAGTATACGCCATATCAACCGGAGGTGTCCCAGGGCCGTCTGGAGAGCTTGCTGAATTATCAAACTATGGTGTGTGATATAACTGGGATGGATGTGGCCAATGCTTCTTTACTGGATGAAGGGACAGCTGCTGCTGAAGCCATGCAGTTGTGCCACAGGTTTGAACTTTTTTTTTTTTCCCTTCCAAGATATTTACAGTTTTCTGACCCATGCTTAAGATTTACTCATCCCTATCGCACAATATAACCAGGAGGGTGACAGCATTGCCTTTCTGCATTTTCACCTCCCTGCCTGCTGACACTATGTCTAAGCATCACTACCACCACCTCCCTTTTGTAAACCTGTCTATTCAATCCTCCTATACCTGAATAATGTTTTTTACAACAGTCTTTTGTTTGCAGTAGTGTGGTTGGTGGTAGTGACATTAGCACCTGTTTCTTTTGTGCACTGTATTGTGCATGATAAATGACTGTTTTCTGGTAAGCAAACTATCATTTTTTTTTAAAATGCAGGTTCTGAGTATTTGTTTGTAATGATTTCCACGTTATTTGGTCTTGCTGATCCTTCTTGTTTTGTAGACAAAACAAGAGGAGGAAGTTCTATGTGGATAGCAGATGTCATCCTCAAACTATAGCTGTCGTACAGACAAGAGCCAAGTAAGCATTTTTCTTTTATTCTCTCATTGATCACTAGTAAGTCTCTGAATTTCTTATTTATGTCCTGTTAGTTTGCTGACCTATATATCATTCACCGATCTAGCCTATGTCTTTTAGCTAGCAGCCTTATATGTACTAAATAAGTTTTTTCTAATCCTGAATATGCATAATTTCTCAAAAACAGACCTAAAATAGACCTGACCAATTGTAAAGAATAAGTTCACCTTTTTAAAAAAAAAAAAAAAAAAAAAAAAATTAAATCCACATCTTTTTTGCAGGTAAAAAAGTGCATTTATTTATTTTAATTAGGTTCCTGTAAAGCATTGCACCTGCGATCAGCAAACCACTGGTGCAATGCAGGGCTCCTGTGGATGGTCATTGTAAGCTGTCTGCTCATACTGGCAGGCAGTTACACAGTGACAGAAACCATAAATGAACTACCTAGAGCGCTCACCAGTGCTCTGGCAGTTCGTTGAAAACTACAAGCCTTCAGTGACAAAGGCTGATGGTGGTTGCAGTTTTTCCCATTCACTAAACTCTGCGAGTGAATGATGTGGCTGGGCAGGCAGAGGCCCCTGGCTCGCTGTCACTAGAGGCAGTGGAATCGGGGAGAGGCTGCTTCAGTGTGAACATGTTCCACCCTAAAAAAGACACAAGTCCATTCAGTTCAACCGGAGGAGGGTATATATAGTATATATTTTTTTTGATCATCTACTAAGCTTGCCAGAACCAGTTCTTGTTTGATTCAATATTTTTTGTAAGTGAGGTCTGCAGACTCGGACACCATGTTTTAACCACATCCTTACCGCTCTATAGCTGAATGATGGCTACAGTGCGGTTGTCCAGTTCTGGGAGGGCTTCATATGACGAACGCGCCCTCCTGCGCAACCCCAGCGGCATGCACCCGGCGTTCTCCGTGATCTTTGTGTCCTATGGACAAAGCTGATCATATGAGGTAAAAGGCCAATCGCAACGGCCTTTTACCACTTGATTAGCTGTGTCCAATGACACAGCAGATCACTGAGTAAATACAGTTGCCGGTTATCGGATGCACTTTCCTCACGCTGTGACAGCGTGAGGAAAGTACTGTCAATAACTGGCAGCTGTAACAGAGCAGAGCAGATCTGCACTGATCATCAGGGCCCTGATGATCAGTGTTGCCCAGCAGTGCCACCTATCAGTGCCCATCATTGTTGCTTATCAGTGCAGCCTCATCAGCGCACGTCAGTGAAGGATAAAAACTACCTGTTTGCAAAATTTTATAATGGAAACAAACTTTTTTTTCCTATTTATTTATTTTTTTTAATGTTTATTGTGCAAAAAATAAAACACCCAGTGGCAATTAAATACCACCAAAAGAAAGCTCTATTTCTTTGAAAAAAAAAAAAAAGAAAAGATACACATTTTAAAAAAAAAAAAAGGGAAAAGATACACATTTCATATGGTACAGTGTTGCATGACCGTGCAATTGTCTTTCAAAGTGTGACTGAAAGCTGCAAATTGGCCTGGGCACGAAGGGGGTAAAAATGCCCAGTAGGCAAGTAGTTAAATGAGGTCTAACTAAAGCTCCATATATAGGGAAATTGGGTCTACTTCCACATGCTGGTGATACACCCTAGAATTCTATTTGCTTTCTCCACTGCCAGACCAAACTACCTACTTTCTCCCTTTTTGCAATAACCTGAAATAAACACCCCTGAATCCTTTTCTTTTGTAGTTTTAGCCAACCTACTGTAGTAATCCCTTACTATGTAACATATGATTGACTGGTGTCTTGTCTTGTTTTTCACATTTTTTATTACTGGCTGTTTTTTACTATGTTATAGCTACATTGGTGTCACAACAGAACTCATGCTGCCACATGAGATGGACTTCACTGGAAAAGATGTCAGTGGTGTTTTGTTTCAATATCCTGATACAAATGGAAAAGTGGAAGAATTCACTCAGCTGGTTGATAGAGCTCACCAAAATGGAGTAAGTATGTAGTGATATCCACTATATGTCTTTGTGTTTTCATAATAATTATTATTATTGATTTATATAGTGCCAAGAGTTTGTGCAGCGCTTTACAATCTAAAGGGAGACAGTACAGTTACAATGCAATAAAATTCAAGAGGGCTAAGAGAGCCCCGCTCATAAGATCTTAAGTCTAATAGGATGGAGCAAGTGGTACAAAAAGGTTATAACTGTGGGGGATGAGCTGATGGAAGTGATAAAAATTGACTTAGTTGGAGACATGATAGGATTCCATTAAGAGAAGTTTTCAGGGTTTGCCTAAAGGCAGCTACAGTAGAAGATAGCTGGACAGATTGAGGTAGAATGTTCTAGAGGATGGGAGAGGCTCTGGAGATGAGCATGGGATGAAGAAGAGTGCTTTAGAGCAGGAAGTCTTGGGAGGAGCAGAGAGGATGGTTTGGGTGATATTTGGATAAAGGATTGGTGATGTAGCTTGGGCCACAATTGTATCTGGCTTTGTATGTTGTTAGTATTTTGAGTTCAGTTTGCTGGGCAATCGGAAGCCTGTGGAGGGACTGGCAGAGAGGGGTAGCAGACACCGAGCAGTTGGTTAGGTAGATGAGTCTGGCAGCAGCATTCATGATAGATCAAAGAGGACATAGCCAATTATGCAGAAGGAAGGTTATGGACCAATGTACTGTAGATTGTTGGACCTGTTGCTAAGGCATAAGAAATAAAATAAGGATCTAGTTTTGCCCAGTAACAAGAGTGTTGACCTTCACGGAGGTTGTTTTTTTACAGACACATCTAAGGGAGAGAAAAAATATTATTTGCCCATAAGCAAGCCAGGAAAATATTTATTTGAAAATGTGTCAGGAGAAAAGCTTTTTTTTTTTGTCAAATTCAACATGTATGAAATAATGGCTTGACCATAAAAATGAAAATTGCTTATGTGAGACAGAAGTCATATGGGTGACATTTTTTGTTATTAGAAACCAATTTTAATAACTCTAACTTCTCTATCAGACATTGGCTTGCTGTGCGACTGACCTTCTGGCACTGTGCATCTTGAGACCTCCTGGGGAGTTTGGGGTGGATATAGCTCTGGGAAGCTCCCAAAGGTTTGGTGTACCACTTGGCTATGGAGGACCACACGCGGCTTTTTTTGCTGTGAGAGAGAATCTAATTCGCATGATGCCTGGAAGGATGGTTGGTGTCACAAGGTATGTTGATCTATACTTGATTGCAAAGATTTTTGTGTAAGATATGGGTAAAAATTTTAAGAAAAAGTTTATTTTCCATGGTGCATGAGTTCCAGCTTTTCTTAGGATAGCAAGAGGATTACTGTTATGTTAGTTGTTAACTCTGATAGCCTGGTGCAGTAGTTTCACTGCAGGCTTTTGGAGACACAAATATTTAAAAAAAAATGTTAAAAATCTTCTAGTGCACAAAACAGTAAAGCACATAAGCCAGCAAATGGCTGCTGTCATAACTGATCACATATGTAGAACCATGACAACTTCAGATCAAAATGAGATAATGATGGCACCTTCCTTGACTGTAAAAGATAGAGCTTAGTTCACTTTGATTTTTAAAATAATCCTTTTAAAATGAATCATCAGCTCATACCCTCACCCAACACTACTCAAACTATGTATTCTTGGCTCTTTTTAGAGAAAAGCATAAACAAACTTTTAACAGTTAAACTAATGCCCCCTTTACATTAACTAACGCTTGTAGTGTTTCATAACAAAGCCAGAATAATTTTTCCTTTTTGTTTTGGGGATTTTAACCTTACTTTGTGTCCTGGTGCAATAAATGAGGGAAATTTGTCCTCTAAAAGTTCATCATATAGTCAATTTTAAATTTAACAAAAACATGTAATATGAGAACCTACCTAAAACTATACAATCAGTTTGTACATAATGTGGCAGGCCCATGTTCTACATAGTTGTTGGTAGATTTTAAGGAGATTATACAGTCAGGTGTGTGTGTGTGTGTGTGTGTGTGTGTGTGTGTGTGTGTGTGTGTGTGTGTGTGTGTGTGTGTGTGTGTGTGTGTGTGTGTGTGTGTGTGTGTGTGTGTGTGTGTGTGTGTGTCATTTAGACAGCTGTCATTGAAACATTTTGCCTATATTGAATGAGTCACCATTATATCTTGTTCTGGCTGTGGCTCTAAACCTTAACATTTTCTGTCACTTTCTGTCCCAGTTGCAGTGGTCACCAAGACACAGGGAGGGTGAACTTTACTGTTGGGACACAGATGGCATTAAAATCTAGCAGGTTTTAGTTAATCCATCTAAAACATAGTTTTGGAGTTTTGGCTATATAAGCATTTTTATGATTAAAGTATTGCCTTATCCTGTGCCACGTGTGGTGGTCCTGAAAATAACAATGTAAATCTCTAGCTGCTGAAAACAAATGGTCTGCCTTTAATATATACATCAAACATTAAAAGAAAAAGCCAACTTTTTAATTAAGTTATTCATAGGTCACAACACAAACGTGACACACCTCTAAACACAAAGAAATTGTTTAATTGGGTGTGTTTGGCATACATACATGTTAGAAATTCAGCAGTCAAGTTGTCACCTTTAGGGCAGTGCTTGGGTAACTTCTAGGTAAGCTGTTGTCAGTGTAATAATTTTCATATTTCCCAATGTTGGTACATATTATATTGAACAACATGCTGTGGTGTGTTTTTTTTTTTTTTTTTTTTTCCCCTTTAGTTTTCTCTCACTCTTTTCCCTTCATAACTGAATACAATATAGATTGCATCTCATATTTGCAGCACCGTGGTTAAGAACAGTTTGACCTGTATCAACATCATGTTTTGCCATGGTCCAGCCTGGCTGCCAGCACCATAACCAGTGAAGGTCTAGGGCAATAGGGCAAGGACTGACGATTCCATGGTGAGCATGATCCTGATGCAGGCACCCCCAACATTCGGGGGAGGATTTTGTGTGCCTCCATCGAGACCTGCTCTGCCTTCTGCCCCCTGACATGCTTCTTAGACATAAAGTAGGATGCGGCTGTGTGCATCATTCTAGGTTTTAGCTTTTTCGTTGATTCATTGTTTCTTACACAACTTTGATGCAACTGTCTTGCGACTTGAGTTCCATAGAGTTTGAAAGTCACACTGGAAATTGCATGACTTTGAAGTCACACTAGTTTAAACCAAGTTTTATGAATGTTTTGTTTAGCACATGATTGTAGAAATAGCAAAACACTAGATTAACACTAAAGTAACCCTTTTTCCAGTACATAGAAGAAGACGTCTAGTAAATTTTCTTGTGTGAGGCTGTCAGAACATTTTGTTAGAGATGCACTGCCGAACTGTTTTTACCTATAAACAAATTTTTGGAATGTACACAAGAATTCACTAGTTGGATAAAAAGCAGTGTGTGACAGATTTAAAGTGACTGTAAAGCCTTTATTTTTTTTTTACCTGCTCTGTGCAGTGGTATTGCACAGAGTGGTCACTTACCTCCTCTTCTGGAGCCCCCTGCCAGCACTGTCTCTTCCTCTCTAGCATGTGACCCCATAGAAAGCCGTATACTATGGGGGCACACTTGCAAGCCTGCTCCCGAGCTAGGCATTCTGTGTCCAATCATGCGCATGCACACAACGTGGCTCGGCTACGACTACTGCTCTCTTCTCACAGACTTTGACTGACAGCAGCAGAAGCCAATGACTTCCGCTGCTGCCTGAGACCAGGGAGAGTGGAGAGAACCTGCAGCTGGGCACAGCTGTACATGAAGAGAAGACTCCGATAAGTGTTTAGGAAGGGAGGGGGCTTAACAAATGGTAAAATGTTTGTTTTTTTTCCTTTAATACAGGGAATGCATTAAGGTAAATGTTTTTACTTTAGAATGTTGTTAATTTAGATGTGCTGTCGTGTTAAATAATTCCCTTTTACTCTTTATTAATATGATTATCATTACTTGTATTGTACATCAATTTACACAGCGCTTCACATGTATATTGTACATTGACATCAGTCCCTGCCCTCAAGGAGCTTACAATCGAACATCCCTAACTCGCACATACATACATACATACATACAGTACATACATACATATATGCATGTGCACACGCACTAGGGCCAATATAGACATGAGCCATTTAACCTGCCACCATGTCCTTTTGAGTGTGGGAGGAAGCCTGAGTATCTGGAGAAAAACCACGCAGGCACAGGGAGAATATGAAAACTCTACGCAGGTAGTGCAGTGGTTTGGATTCGAACCAATGACCCTAGTACTGCCACGCAGAAGTGCTAATTACACTGCTGCCCACTATAGGGGTTACTTGCTGCCAAACCATATGAGGTTTAAATAAACTGTACAAAAACCTGATATTCATTGCTGGCTACTCCTGCAGTTGTAGTATGCCTTTTAATTCCAATTCTGCAGTCTGTCAGCCTGCCCTGTCATGCTGTTCTCTTCTCTTGTCTCGTGTATGATCAATTCATGGGAATGCAGGCCGTACTAATTTCCTCCCTGAATACCACTTTGTAACTTAAATAAAGAAAGACACACACACACACACACACACACACACACACACTATTATTTATTATTATTATACAGTATTTATATAGCGCCAACAGGTTTGCTCAGTGTTGTACATTATAGTGGGGGACAGTACATGAGACAATACAGTGACAAAACAATGCACGAGGGGTTCGAGGGCCCTGCTCTTTGGCATAAAATTGGCCGTGACACTTTTATTGCTATCAATTGAAAATTAAATAATAATACTGGTAACTCATATCATTTATTCAAATGTATTAAACTTAGACTTAAATAATCAAGAATAGCTCAGTCATTAAGGACTCAAGCATCAATTAAATAGCATAAAACAACAAGCCCCACAAGCCAGGCTTATAAGACCAATGTAAACAATAAAAATATGAGCGCTGGGTGACAACAAGGAAAAACACAGGCGGGAGCAGCCAGCATAGAATAGGAAACAACCTCAGATCCTCCAAGAAATGCCAGAAATAAAAGTACAAATGCGGCGCTCTATAATATTTACAGTATGCAGGTGGTATCTCACAGTATTCAAACTTATTTGATATAGTACATATGGATTAATGTGACTGTTATGACACAGTGAGCAATAATTAACTTTCACATCACTCCGCATGAACTATATCCAATAAGCTTTGTTGCTGTTAATATTATATAGTACCGCAGTCACGAAAGTTAATTATTGCTCACTGTGTCATAACAGTCACATTAATCCGCATGTACTATATCAAATAAGTTTGAATACTGTGAGATACCACCTGCATACTGTAAATATTATAGAGCGCCGCATTTGTACTTTTATTTCGGGCTTATAAGACCGGCCTACTCCAAAAGCACAGCCAATTCAATGCAATTTTGTAAATATATCTAAGCCGATGTCTGATAAATTTAATCTGATCAGATCTATAAATGCCACTAAAACCTTCCAGATCTACATGGCGGTAAGAACAACCATTAATTAGTGGCATGAATTTTTCCATAGCCCTATTTATCCTTTTTCCTAACTATTTCTAAAGGTTTAAATTGAGGACATACCAGCCATCGCAGGCATGGAAAAAACCTCAGAAAAAATAATAGTTGTATTCGGGAATGATCATTTCAAACGGTGCTTATCTTGCTTCATCATAAACAACAACTCCAATGTTTTTACCTTGCGTATATCATTTCCCTGCAGATGAAATATTAATATATCCGGATTAGGCCAAATATCAAAAAACCCTGGAAAGATGAAAGAATAAGTTGGCCCACTGTAAGCCTCTCATACCCTTCCAATAAACTTGAAAATATGAAGGATCTATGGACATATTTGTGGAATAGCAATGTTGAGCTGCTCTTTTCTTTGCCCAAAAAAACAAGTGTCCAGTGATCCAAACACAAATTTTAGTACTTAGAATTCAAACAGAATGATCAGGTCAAATGTATAACTGAAAACGGCGAGAGTCCCATCTACCATGTTCTTTAATAATGGTATCATTCAGGCCCATTCTTACAGCCTCAGTAGCTGCACCTATCCTAAATGAATGGGGGTTACATTTATACTGACTTAGCCCTACTAGAAAGAAATTTCTTAAAGACGGAAACAAATTGATATATTGTAAGGGGGAAAGAATCCGCATGAATGAAAAAGGATCAGAACCAACTGGCCTAAAGGATAGATACTGCCGAACAGCAATTAAAGGACAAATAATTGGAGCGCCACAATTATGTAAGCTAATCAAACGTCCTATACCAGTTTGGTCCGTTTTTGATTTGGAAATATACGGACTCCATTATCTGATAATAAAACTTGCTCAAAATGAAGGCCTCCTTTTTTAATAAATTTTATTACGAGGCAAAATTTCCAATATGCGTAGAGCACTAAAGAAGGACAAAGGCGATCTTAAATAAAATTGATTCAAACTCAGAAAAACAGAAGTAGTAGTAAGGTAGGTAGATTTTTTTTTTTTTTTTTTTTTTTTTTTTTTTTAAGTTTTGAATAGAGAGAGGTCTTCTATTATCTGAGCAAGTATGAGATTTTTTTTATAACCCTTGAGAGCCTGCTGAAACAAAAACTAACTGGTACAAGGGGGCTGATTGTTTATGTAAAAAGGAAATACCCACCAACATTTTTGTGATAGGACTATAAGAATACTCTTAACTTTTTTTGTGCTGTTATGCAGTTAAACTACAGATTCATTAGGAGCATCAGAAGCAAACATGAATTCCGAGCTGATATCCTTCCATTATTTTTTTTAGTTTTTGTTTTCCATGTGATCGTATAATTGGTCCATGTATTGTTTGCTAATGAATTCTTAACAGAATCAAAAATGACTGTCAAATCAATTTCCATGGGTGTTCCTTCTCTGTCTGCATTTGGCAACAGCTGATGAAATCTTGACATCTGAAATCGAGATAGTGAATCTGCAATATTATTCTCCTTGCCTTGAATGTATTTTGCTTTTACCCATTTATTAAGTTGTAAGCATAACTTGACTAGGTGGCTAAGGAACTTTATAACATAAATAGATTTTGATAAAAGGCAGTTTATTGCATAAAGCACTCCTTTTATTAACCGACTGTATTAACATTATTTTATGTTTAAATTGTTCTCCCCAAATTTACAATGCAACCACTAGCGGAAATAATTCTAATAAAAGTACATTCTTAGTTGCTTTATTTATCTCCCACTCCGAAAGCCATTCCCCGCAACACCAGTGTGTTCTCCATATTGCAGGAGTCCCTTTGGAACCAGCTGCATCTGCAAATAATTCGAAATCTGGAGCAAAAACAAAAACATCTTGAAAGAACGACTTGCCATTAAAGTTTTCCAGAAACTTTAGAACAAACCAAAAGGCCTTCTTTCAAATCAGTGGTTAAACGAATATGTGAAAAGGGGGATTTGAATCCCGAGATAGCCAAATACATACGGCGAGAAAAAATTCTGCCAACAGGCATGACTCTAGATGTAAATGCCAGTAAACCCAGAAGGGACTGACTTTCCGTTAGCAAAACCTTCTTCCGACGTAAGAAGGACATTATAAGGGATGCTAATTTTATCACATTTTTGTCTGTGGCAATTTAAATTCCATAACATCTGTGTTGATATTTATGCCTAAAAAATCAATATATGTAGGAAAAACTGCTTTCTAATTTGCTAACGGAACGCCAAAGTGCTGGGTGATGAGGCTGAATAGTTGCAATAAATTACCACACTCGTGATCAGGTGGGCCTATCAATAAGAAATCTTCAAGATAATGTATTATTCTATCCCCACCTGATTCAAATGTAACTACCCAATGTAAAAAATGAGAAAATGATTTGAAATAAGCGGACGATACTGAACAACCCATGGGCAGGCATTTGTCGGAATAAAACTGACCAGTAAACTGAATTCCTAAAGAGCTGAAAGAATTGGGGGAAATTGGTAGCAAACGAAATGCAGACTTTATATCCCCTTCCAAATTGTCTGATCCTATGAATGGTTTCTTTAAAAGAGCTATAAGAAACAGATGACAACTTTTCATTTATTTCAACATTTAGACATGACCCACTAGGAAATGACAAATGATGAATTAAACGATATGTATTCGGCTCTTTCTTGGAAACGATATCTAACGGAGATATACGGACATTTTTAAAAGGTGGGGCAGGGAAAGGACCTGCAATGCAGCCTTCCCTAATTTCTTTATCCAACTTTTCAAGAACAATATTAAAATACTTATCTCTACTGATTTGAAGTTATTGACCATTACACATCCAACTCCAGAAAATATGGGTAAAGGGAAACCGTTGGTAAAACCTTCCGTTGGGAATCTAGCTTTCTCCCTGTTTGGGTAAAGCTCCAACCAATGAAGCATGTTTGCCAAATTCACTGGAGTGTGGGCTTTTGAAATAATTTTCCCTTGAATTTTGTTGCAACTAATTATTCGGTCTAAAGCATTTGATGACAGAGTGCATTCCAGAACAATGGGAGCATTCTTGCTTATACCAACATAGACACCCATTTACACGGTGTTTCATTATAGGCAAAACAAAAACCTTCCTTTTTTTTTTTTTTTTTTTTTTCTTTTTTTTGGAGAAAACGAAACCATGGGCTGTTGTTTAACCAAAGGAGGACTTTGTGGTAAGATCAGATTTAACCACAAACCGACATCCTTCATGCCGCACTTCATAGTAGGGTATACTGCTAATATTTGTCTGAAAGACGCATCATAAAAAAAACAGCCCAAACCTCTGAAATTCCTATATACCTCTAACACATGCTCCAGATGTTGAAAAAGGCCACTACAAAATTCTGGATGCTTTTCTTCCAGAGCACTAGAAAATATTGCAAATGTTTGAAGCCAGTTATGGAATGATCTCGCCACTGGTCTATGCCTATCTTCCTCCATTTTTTTTTTTTTCCTCCGACTTCTTTTTGGTTTTAGACACAAAATCTTTCGCCGAAGGAAGCAATGACAAAATATCAATATAATCCCCTTTCCATATTTTTTTTTTTTTTCTTTTATCATGTTAGACAAATGGTAACCCAGTGGTGAGATCTCACAAGGCAATACTTCTTTAAAGCAAGTTTCTGGTACTGCTGATAAACTGCTATTCACACTTGGATGAACTGTATTACCAGTCTGCGTATCAGAAACCATTAAAATGTTTGATGGCTGCGAATTAACATGAGCAGTAACAGTAAAAGGAGCTGAAGAATTAATCCTAATACTAACTATTCTGCCATATAGACTAACAGTATTAGCAGGAGAAGTCCGTGGCCTCTTCACTGCTGGTGGGCTCGTGAGTCATCTTCTTCCCCCACCGCCACTTCCCGAGCTTGTTCCCGCCGCTCCTCTTCTCCTTTGTCCATATCTAGACAGCACCGGAGACAGTCTTCTGACTGCTTCCAGCCTGCTCAAGGACACGTCGCATCAGGGTCTTCATGACCGGCTATTCGTCAACAAGCTTCTGACAGTATTATAGCTCAAGGAGCTCATTGGACAACACCGACCAACTGGCAAATTGCCGCAGGAGGCCACTCTTTATATAATAAGCCCCAGGGTTCCAGAACTTTCCACAAGGTCACGTAGAGCGCTGCTTTCCCGCCCAAACTACCTATACATTTCTTAAAGGGCCATACACCTCTTAAAGTGTCATCGGAGGTAAATTGAGCTTACCGCTTAAAATGCTTAACTATCAAGAGGGAGTGATGGCCGCATGGCCATGAAAGTGGACATTGATTGTTTGCCCACTTTTAACATTCTAACAAGAACTAAAACAGCAACTGCACATTAGATTCTGCAGTCTAAATATTTAATGTTTAGATATTAATTTTTCATCTTGCAGAAATGAGTAAGTGGCTCATTCATAGGGGTAGGGGGCAGTAAAGACAGGCATTAGGACTTCCAATAATATATTGTTCATCAGTCCTATGGCCAGCATAGGAAGTTATTGGCTCACTGAATTTTTGGCAGATTAAACAGGTATTTGTTACACTTCATTCTATTCTTTCTTTAGGGATGCTGCTGGAAAGGAAGTATATCGACTTGCACTGCAGACCAGGGAGCAACACATCCGAAGGGACAAAGCCACAAGTAACATCTGCACAGCACAGGTAACTCCTGAAAATTGAATGCATGAACCAAGTGCCAGGATTGTGGTTCTGAGTTATTCCATTGCCTACGAGAAGACATGTTACGTCTTAATTTTATTTCATATGAATTGCTGGGGTAGCTAAAGTTGTGGTGGTGTGTGTGTGTGTGGGGTTTTTTTTTTTTTTTTTGGTTTTTTTTCCCAATTCCTCAGAGGACCCTTGTGGTAGCCAGTCTAGATACTTTCAGGTTTGGCTATATTGCATTAGAGAGTAAAAGTAAAACCAAATCTTTTGTGTGAAGAGAGTTAAAAGTCTAGATACTTTCAGGTTTGGCTATTGCAGTAGAAGAGTAAAGCAAGTAAAACCAAATCTTTTGTGTATTACTTTTTTTTTTTTTTTTTTTTCTTTGCTTGTGACAGCCACACACTAGCATCAAATCTGTGCCATATATTGTTCCCTTACTATAATTTGTAAGTTTACAGGGCCACCTGTAATGGCCCTCCTATACAGGGCCCAGACACATGAGGATCCGTTCTAGTATCTGCACCCCACAAACCACCCACCCATCGCCAGCTGCTCTGATCACCTACGCTCTCCTTCACCCTGCTGTGTGGCCCACCCCGCAGTGCTGCTGGATTCACCACCTCTCCCTTCACAGCTGCTGCTGCTGCTGCAGCAGGGCTCACAGGGATTATTTCAGGATGGTCATATTTACCAGCCCATTCCTTTCCTGAATCCCCACCCCCAAGGCAGGAGGGCAGTTAAAAAAAGAAAAAAAATTAAAATAATAAAGCAACGGTTTGTGTTTGGGGTCACAGGGATAATTTCCAGGGTTCCTTTCCTGAATCCCCACCCCCAAGCAGGGCAGTTTAAAAAGAAAAAAAATTAAAATAATAACCTAATCTATGTCAACCATGATCATAAGTACGTCCCCACTATTGCAAGGTGCTTGCAGAGCAGTGTGCAGGGTTCTGGCAATTTTTTTTTTTTTTACTTGGTTTACTATCACAAGGGGTTAATAAACCCCCATGTGCTAGCATTGGGCAGGTGGCAGGTACTCTTTATAGAGACATTAGGAGTCTAATAGATGCCAATGTTTCCCTTGCCCTTCACACCATCTAACCAAACATAGATCAGCTTGGTTAGTAGGTTGTCCCCTGGCTTTAACTGTACTGGCCAGAAAGGGTGCATTTGAAACCAAAAGTGATATAAATTCCGGTTTCACTGTTTGAATGATGAGATCAAGGCATGTTTTGCATCGGGTCTCACAACACTTTCCCTCCCCTAGCTGGTGGATGTGTATCGGGCTTGGTACTGTTACTGAACCACAGAAGGAAGGGGGGCGTCGGTAGAAGTGGGGGGTGTGGGTATGCACAGCGCTGCAAGCATCTTGATTGAAGGTGATCTGCAGCTATAGAGCTGCCACATTCCTTCGTTTTCAAGTCGGCTGCTGCATTAGGCAAATTAGGTGGCCGCAAGGTGAGTGTGAGGCCTTAGGCAACCTAATTTGGCCTAAGCCGGTGTGTGTGTGTTGTGTGTGTGCGTGTGTGTGTGTGTAATGCGTGTGTGTGTGTGTGTGTTTTTTTCGAAGTCCTGTTTTTTGGGTTTTTTTTTTTTTGTTTTAAGTCCTAACCATTTCCTATACCCCTATATATACTGCATAGTGTGTGGTGTATGTTGTTTTGTTTTTTGCCTTTTGTTCACCAAAGATGTTGCCGTGTGACACGTCACCAGTGTGTGTCGCGTGACACCACCAAGTGTGGTGTGGTGTGTATGTTTCTTTTGGGAAGAGCCCACGTCGTTACAACTCTAACTGTAAAGAACTCCCTATGCGTACTGCAATTAAACCGCTTCTCGTTCCAACCCCGTTGAGTGGCTGTTTTTTTTTTATTAAGCGACCTGTGACGGAATAGTTTCTCTCTATACTAGAATCACACTTTATATACTTGGAAATTACTATCCTATCTCCTCCTTAAGCGTTTCCTCTCCAGGGGAGAATATGTTTTAATGAAATTGCAGTGCTCCTCATAATTAAGGTCCCTCTTAATTATTAGCTTTGTTGTCCTTCTCTGGACTCTCTTCAGCTCCAACACATCCTTCCTAAAGATTGGTGACCAGAACTGGATGGCATACTCAAGGTGTGGCCAAACCAGTGGGGAGAAATTGGTACATAAGTTACAAAACATTAATGTAACTGATTATAACAACTAAATGCAGCTGTCCTAGTCACACCAAAAACAGAGAGAGAGAGAAAAAGGAAAAGAAAGAAAAAAAAAAAAAAAAAAAAGGGGGGGGGCAAAGAGCAGGGATTCAAGAGCGCCAACACCGAACGCCATTACATCCCCAGACTAGCCGGGGAGAGTGAGGGAAGGGCATATTGCAACCACGGCTCCCATATTTTCAAAAATTTACGTTGGGAGTCATTGCGGATACTCGACATCTGTTCGTTGAGCATCATAGTGGTCATACGATCCCGCACCCCCTGAAGAGGGACAAACGGACTCCTCCAGGCCTGAGCAATTGTTCTAGTGGCGGATAAAAACAGATAGGAAGCCAACTCCTGCTGGTGAGCCAAGAGGCCCGGTATGGGGCAATGAAGCAAAGCATACCGAACATCCCGGCGTATGGAGAGATGGAACAAAGTGAAAAGGAGGCCAAATACACGAGACCAAAAACGAAACAGTCTCGGGCATGACCACCAGATATGCAATACATCACCACGATGACCACAACCCCGAAAACATCGATCACTACAGGCAGGGTTAGCCCGGGCCAACCGAGCCGGAACCCAGTACCAACGAAACAAAACCTTATAGGCTGCCTCCAGTGTGGTCGTATTAAATGAGCATTTAGCTATGAGTGACCAGGCCTTATTCCAGTCCTCCGGATCCACAGCCACTCCCAGGTCGCGCTCCCACTGAACAACATATGAAAGAGAAGTATGCGATGAGCGTCTGTTCAGAGCTGCATAAAGAAGGGATATAAGGCCCGGAGCGCCCGGACGCTGTTGGCAAAGCTGTTCAAAGGCAGATTTCTGGTACGGGAACGCAGAAGTACCCCGCAGCGAGAGCAGCCAGTGTCGCAATTGAAGATATCGAAAAAATTCCGCTGGGGGGATATTCCGGGATTCCCGAAGAGAGTCCCAGGTGGGAAAGGACCGAAAAATCAAAGTGTCGCACCTGCGAAAAACCATTAGTCACCCACCAAGAAAACGCCCCTGGGTGATCCAAACCCGGCGGGAAAAGAGGGTTGTTAATAATAGGTAGCAAAGGCAGAAAAGGTGACATCAGACCACCAGAATAACGTACCGAGTCCCAAACTTGTAGGCCATGAAGTAACATCGGACTCAGTGCCATAGGGCGCAGGGCAGGGGGAAGCCATAGAAGCGTCGACAGTGCGATAGGGGCACAATTAGGTAGTTCCAACAGGACCCAGAGGGGGACGTCGGAAGAGGCGTGCAACATAGACAGCGGGGCAATCTGGCTCGCTTGATAATACTTAGTCACATTAGGCACCCCAAGACCACCCTGAAGTCTATGGGCAAAAAGCGTACTTTTGGATACTCTGGGGTGCTTATCGGCCCAGATAAAACGCATTAACTTCGCCTGAAGCAACCTAAGAAAATGAGGGGGAACCCGCACCGGGAGTGTGCGAAAATAATACAACAATTTCGGCAAGATGGTCATTTTCACCGAATTAACCCGTCCTATCCAAGACAGGTGCGGAAATTGCCAAGAATGCATAAGAGAGGATAGAGAGCTAAGCAATGGATAATAATTTGCAGCAAACAAGGAGTCATAAGTGGGGGTCAAGCGAACGCCTAAGTATTCAAGAGAAGAGGAAGCCCATTTGTAAGGGAAGTGGGATTGTAGGCGCGAAACCAAATCCGAAGCCAAAGTAATATTGAGGGCTATAGTCTTATCCAAGTTGATACGGAGACCCGAAATCAAGGAGAAGCGCTCAAGAACCTGTTGCAAATTAGGAAGCGTCGTCAGGGGGTTAGTAAGAGTCAGGAGGGCATCATCCGCAAAAAGATTCAGTTTGAATTCCTGTCCCGCGTAAGGAACCCCCGATACATTGCAATCGGTCCGAAGCTCTAAAGCCAGCGGCTCAAGCGCCAGGACAAAGAGCGCTGGGGACAGGGGACAACCCTGTCTTGTCCCTCGCCCAATAGGAAAGGGATCTGAAAAATACCCAGCGTATTTGACGGAGGCTGAAGGAGAAGAATACAAGGCCTGGATCCAAGAAAGAATAGAATCCCCAAAACCCCAACGAGACAGCACAAACCGCAGATATTCCCAGGATAGAGAATCAAAAGCTTTATAGATGTCTAAAGACAGTAAGAATCCTGGGATTTTCCGTTGTTGCAGAAAATGTATAAGATGGACCACCTTACGGACGTTATCACCCGCCTGCCTCCCGGGGACGAACCCCACCTGGTCCCTGTGGACCAGGCTACGCAAATATTTATTGATGCGAAAACTAAGGATCTTGCCCAGTATCTTCAGGTCTTCATTAAGAAGAGAAATAGGCCGGAGGCTTGCGGTTCCTGTACATCATCAGTCGTCTTAGGAATCATGGCGATATGCGCTCTAAGCGCATCTGGAGAGGGGGCGAGGAGCCCTGTCGTAACGCATTAAAATACTCAGCCAAAAAGGGCGCCAACAAGGCTGAGAATTTCTTATAATAAAGACCAGAAAAGCCGTCGGGACCTGGGGCCCGCGGTGGACCGTAAAGATTTGATAGCTTGGAGCACTTCTGGTACAGTGACACCGGCGTTGAGTGCCACCTGTGCCGCCTCGGATAACCCAGGAAGTCGGAGATCTTGAAAGAATGCCTCTGCCTGCGCCACGGGGAAGGGATCTGGTTTAGCGTAGAGGCGTGAAAGGAAGTCTGAGAAACGGAAAACAATCTGCTGGGGATTAGAAGTACAGCCACCTGTAGGAAGTCGCAGTCGAATCGGTTTATGGGGTTTCCCCACAGAATTGAGTTTCCTGGCCAGCATCGGCCCGGCTTATTAGCACAGGAATAAAATTTGTGTTTGGTCCAGCGCAGGGCCCGTTCTGCCTCCGAAGAGGCAAGTAAGTCCAACTCTGCCGCCAGAGCGTCCCGAGCGCGTTTATGGGCCGCGGATGGAGATGACTTCCAACGCGCGTCCGCAGAGGCCAGGAGAGAATGAAGCTCCAAAAGTCGGCGCTCCCGCTTCCGGACCGCCGCCAGCTGTATAACATGACCCCGCACCGTGGCCTTATGCGCCTCCCATAGGGGCACTGCAGAGGAGACCGATCCTGCGTTTTCCGTAAAGTATGTTCGTAAAAAAAAATTCTATTTGTTGGCAGGTAGCCTGAGTGGTCAATAAAGAATCATTGATGCGCCAATGAAAAGGGCGCCGTTCTGACCCAGAGAGGGCAAGGAGAAGTACCAAGGGATCGTGATCCGACCAAGGCGAGGAGGGAATAGTTATCCGCCTGACCAAGGGAAGCTGCTGAACCTGCATAAATATATGATCAATTCTACAAAAACTATCATGAGGACTGGAATAGAATGTAAAGTCCCGTTCCGTTGGGTGAAGCTCCCTCCAGACGTCCGCCAGCCCCGCTGTCCGCAGGAGAGAGCGCATACGTTCTTCCAGCGCCAAGTCATGAGAAGGGGCCGCCCCCCGTGCGCAGCGCCTATCCATTGCGGAATCCAAAGTAACATTAGAATCCCCCAAAACAACAAGGAGACCCTTAGAGTGTCGGGAAACAATGGTGCAAAGATGTGAAAAGAATTTATCCTGAAAACGATTAGGCGCGTAGTAAGAGACAAAAGTAACCTCCTGGTCCCAGAGGGGGTGCCTTGCAGAAGCAGATACCTGCCCGTGGGGTCCGCTATATTCCTAGCACAGACAAAGGGGAGATTGCGTTTAAAAGCGATCAGGACACCCCGACGCTTCTCAGGAGCCGAGGCCGTGTAAAAGGTGGGATAGTGAGGTGAAAGATAACGTGGGGCGGAGGACTGAGAAAAACCTGGTCTCTTGTAAACATACCACGTCAATTTGTTGCGATTTGAGGTGATGAAAAACTTTAGCCCGCTTCTGAGGCGAATTGAAGCCTTGAACATTTTGCGAGTAAATACCCTTTTTAATGCATGCTAATTCATCTGCTGACTTTGCATGCTGCAGCTCTTCAATTTTCCCCAGAGGTTCTCCCCCTAGCGACTAACTATCATTTAGATTTGTAGCCCCCAAATGCATTACCTTTTTTCATTTTTCAACCTTAAACCTCATTTGTCCTGTAGCTGACAGGCCCTCTAATTTGTCAAGGTCTTCTTGTAAATAGTTTATTTTTTTTTTTTTCAGTTGTGAAGTTATTGTCCTGTTTGTTTTGTATCATCAGCAAATCCTGAGAGTGAACTCTTTTTATACCAACCTCTGTATCATTTTTATAAACAAATTAAACAGAATTGGTCTAAAGACACAGCACAGACAGAACACAATTTACAAATTTAGGACTTTTGGCATTGATGATAATGTATGTACCTGGATGGAAGACTGGCTACAGGGGCGTGTCCAGAGGGTGGTGATAAATAGTGTATGTTCCAGAACATACACGATTTATCACCACCCTCTGGGTGTGCTTGTGTAACTAGTCTTCCATCCAGGTACATACACTATCATCAATGCCAAAAGACCTAAATTTTGTGTGTTTATGGGGAACTGTATCAAATGCTTTGGCAAAATCCAGATATAGCGCATCCACAGACATTCCTCTATCCAGATTACAGCTTATTTCCTCATAGAATGTTAACGGGTAAGAACAATCCTTCATGAATGCATGCTGGTTACCACTAAGACTTTTCATAAAAAAATTCTTGGATATGGTCCCTTATCATCCCCTACAATAGTTTACCTACTATTGATGTTAGGCTGATTTGGTCTATAGTATCCAGGTATGTATATATGCCTTTTTTTAATATTGGTCCCATGTTCGTTTTTTGCCAATCAGCTGGTACCATTCCACTTTCTAAACGGTCTTTGCCATGTTATAGCTAAGCCATTATTCATAACCTTTTAAAAGTTCTTTTGAGGACTCTTGGATGTAAGCCATCTGGTACTGGTGATTTATTCACACTAAGTTTATCAAGTCTTTATTGAATGCTGGCTTCTGCTAGCCACAAGGATACATTCTGTGTTACTAACCATATAGTCTTGTTTTGTTATACCCTTTGTAAAAACTGAGGAAAATAATGTATTTAGTACATTTCTTTTTTTTCTTTTCCCATTTTTGTATGTTCTTTGGGATGCATTTTTGTATTTCTTATAGTGAATATTGTAATAACTGTGTGTTTATTCTGTAGGCTCTGCTAGCAAACATGGCTGCTATGTTCTGTGTGTATCACGGTCCAAATGGCTTAAAACATATAGCACGGAGAGTTCACAATGCCACGTTGATACTTGCAGAAGGTACACTCAGAGGGGTCTGCTTGCAATAATTAGTTTATTAAAGCTGTGAATTCCAACCAAACCCTTCTTATTTTTTTTTTTTCTCTCTTATTTGTATTAGTCATGTCAGGTTTCAGTTTTTCATCTTCATGTCCCAGTGACAGCTGTTCCCCTGATTGTCATTGTGTCACAGGCACAGGAAATGAGGGAAGGTCTTGGGCCTTGGTCACATAAAGCAGTTAAAACCCGACTCCACCTCATATATACAAAATATCCCCCCCCCCCCCCCAGTGCCGCATTTCAACTATGAATTGTTACAATGCTTTAAAACCTGATGAAAATGATTGAATTGGTCACTAAAAATATTTTCAGCAAGTACAAAAAATACCTGTTGATCTTTCCTAAAAGGCAGTGTCCTTGTGACTACTAACTACTACCAATACACCATGTAATTGAGATTACCAAAAACAGACCTGTTAGAAGTCCAGCTTTTTGACAAACATGGCTTCCCCCATAGCTAAAATGGAGAAATGCTTGCAGACAAGGAGAAAAAGAAAGTGTGTTTGTAGGATCACTGCGTAACATTAAAGGGGTGGGGGGAAGCCTGAAAAAATTAAAACTAATGCAGCCACCACAGCTAGTCCAAGCTGTGATGTATTACAGTTTTTGTTGAGTTTTTATATGCTTTTAAAGTTGGCTTTGAAAAGGACAGCTGGATAATACAGGTAGCTTTAATTTTATTAGTGCTAAGGGAGGTGTGTGTGTGTGTTCAACCTGCCATGGTTGAGGCATAAAGTACAAAATGTACACACCAGGTCACCACAGATCTGGTATAGATGACCATTTTTCCCCAGAAAAACACATTTTAATTCTTTACCTTTTAAAGCAAGCCCGTGCTTTGTCTATACAGAGCAAAGCAGCAGGTTTACTTGAATGGCATCCCTAACAGCAGCTCTTAGCCACATTTTCTTCACTCCCTGGTCACTCTGTTTGGGCACCGGGAGTGAATAAAAAATACCTGGTACAGATGAGTCCCCTTTTTTCTCCCACATAACACTGTTGCTTGGTGATTAGTTTCTGAAGCAACCATCTCTGCCCCATGATGGTAGGGATAGCCCTCAGCCCAAAAGTTTGTTTTGGATAGAGTAGAGAATGATATCTGATGTGTGTGGTTATGTGTTTGGGGTTTTTTTTTCGTCCTATTTGAGAAATATGCCCTCCATTACTGGCACAACCAAGATGGAGTGCAAATCTCTTGATCGTTAAAAGAGATATTATCCTCTTAAGTGTACCTGGAAAAGCATTTCCTTTTTGAAGATTTTCTTATATCTTTTGCTTTGGTGACCACTTTAAAATTTGGACTTCTTATCACTCTCCCAAGCAAGGAACACAGATAGCAGTACAAATTTGATGTTCTACAATCTAAAAAGAAAATATTTTTATACTTTTAATTTAGTTTTACATTGCTTTTAGCTTTGCACCAATAGTTTATCCAATTTTTTTTTTTTTTTTTTTTTCAGGTCTGAAGAGAGCTGGGCATCAGTTGCACGATGAGATGTTTTTTGACACATTGAAGATACATTGTGGGTGTCCAGTTAAAGAGGTTCTGGATCGTGCTGCTCAGCGACAGATAAATGTTCGTGTTTACAGCGATGGTTCAGTAAGTAATTTGGTCTTCTAGTAGAATACACAAGTGTCTTTTCTGTTTTCTGATTAGCACTTGAAGTTGTTTGCTGTCCAAAAGCCAAACATGGGAAAGAAATGAACAGAGATTCTGCCCATTTTTCAGTGTACACAGCAATGACATATCTCCCTGTTCATTAAACTGCGTTATCCAAAAATTTCATATTCCTAATATATGTCTGTTGTACCATATACTTGCCAGTCCTGATAGACTTGTGCTGACTACCCACCCAGCCTGCACAGCTCTTCAAAATGTTTTAGTTAACTAACTTCTAGTCAATGAAGGGATTATCAGCAGTATTACTGTAAAAATAAATAAAACCGTTACAACTTTAAAAGGTTTTAATAATAGACTTTGAATATTGTTTTAACAGCTTGGAGTGTCTATTGATGAGACTGTTAAGGAGAAAGACCTTGATGACTTACTCTGGGTGTTTGGCTGTGAATCCTCAGCAGTAAGTACAATCCTAAATGGTTACTTGCTTTCTGTTCTTTTGCTGATTTAAGTGGCCTGCCATTTAATTTCGACTAGATATGACTAATCGGAGCATCATTACCAAATCCTATTTTATTTAAAAGTACTTCTTGCCAAAAAAAACTGGGCTACTAAAAGTATTGTGAGCATTTCACATTCCTGAGGACTGCAGAAGGTCTGTTTTTCCATCCTACAGTTCCTGTCTGATAGACATGCAATGGGGTAAGCAGAATAACAAGGGACAATATTACGCAGCACTACAAAAGAGGATGCAGAATCACCATATGAGTTGAACAGATATGGCTTCCCTTATGTATATATTGTGAGGCACTGGTGGGCAAGAGTGTGGACAATGGGTGGCATTACTAAAGAGGATGCAGATCCACCATAAGCACTGGGAAAATATGGCTGACCTCATGTACATATTGTGAGGTAATGGCACACAGGATTGTGGATGGTATGTGTTGCCTAGGTTTCTCATATACACATGTTGAAGGGCTCCAGGGTTTATGGCTAATGTAGAAAAAGGAAACCTTTTTTTTGTTTTCTGAGTCTTAAGTTCTTTTTCTAGGTATTGCAGCGCTTTGGCTGGAAATAAGGTAATTTTCCTAGGTCTGCATATCATATGGTAGCCCGTCCGTACGTTAGGTTAAATTTCTGTTGCTCACAGGTCTCTAGCTGACTGCTGCACTCTCACACACTCTGTGCTGTATAACTCTGTAATTTCACCCAACAGGAGGATCCCACAGAACCATTAAAAAATGCATTCGCTACCAGTTTGTTTTTTGCAGCTCATTATAGGGGCACCTTGTTAGTCAGAAAATGTCCAAAGCTGTCCTGAATTGTTCCTTCACTTTCTTGTGTATGGTTTATTGCTGCCAATACCAGATGAGCCTGTCCCTCTTACATTATATACAAACTAATTCAGAGAATCAATATTTTTAATATTTTCCAGATGCACATTTATCAGTGACCATTAAGAGTAGTTCATTTTAACAATTTTTAATGTTTGTTTATACAAATGGTTATCATTAAGTAAAAATAAATGAAAAGTTTTTTTTTTTTTTTTTTTTGCTTTGTGGACTATAAAGGATTTAACAAATGTTCTCCATCACCAACTGCTTGCTTTCTTATGGACTTGTTTTACATTGCCTGCTCCTCCCAAAATGAGCTGGGTGCATGGAAGTTGGTGTGATCCCTGCCGAGTGCCCTGCCAAAAGTGTATATTGATCCAAATGATTTTGTTCAGATTTGGGAAGGACAATGTGTGTTGGTCTAAAAGCTACCTGCATTTTTGGATCTCTATCCATACTAGTACTCTCCTTCCCTTCCCACCCCACCTTCCCCCTGTGAATGGTTGAGCTGTTGGCAGACACTGCATTACACTCCAGCTGTAAATGTAAAGGCTAAGGAAACCTTTGGAACATGTTGTTGTTCCACCTGTATTTGGGGTGGAACATGTAACATGTTCCAGCTCCTGCTTCCTCTCCCCCCTTTCCCCCCTCTGTGACAGTGGGTGGGGGATTTTCTCCAAATACCCGCTGTCACAATTTAAAAACATTGCAGCTGTGCGGGGCTATGCCCACATGACTGCATCATTCATTTATCATTTCCTGTTCATGAATGCCTACAAGTACTGTCAACCATTGTGGCTGACTGCTTGTTCTCAATGAATTGCGAGGGTGCTGGCGAGCACTCTTATAGTCCATTGATTCTTCTTGCCATTTAGTAACTGTGTGCCCGTATGAGGCACAGCTTACCGAGTGTATGTAGGATCCAGGCATTGACCTGCAATCTTTCTGATCACGGGTGCAATGCCTTACAGCGTGTAGTGTAAAATAATGCAGTTTTTTGTTTGTTTTTTTTTACCTGCAAAAAAAAAAGTGCATTATTTATTTTTTTTTTGTAAAAGGTGGACTTATCCTTCTTAAATCCAAACATGAAGAAGACTCACAAATGCCTGTTTTACAGGTGATATCAGTATCAAAAGTTCAGTTTAAAGTAGTCTTGTCAAACTCTAAAATACAGTTCAGATTAGCTCACATCCAGGAACTATGCAGGACTGAAAGCGTATACCCCAATGAGCTCCTTCTTCAGTCATGTGGTTTAGTATGTTTCTTTTATCATTCTTCTTTGGTGATTTTAAGGTTCTTACATTTCTCATGCAGGAATTGGTTGCTGAAAACATGAATGAGGAAAAAGGCATCTTAGCCACCGCTTTTAAGAGGACTAGCAAGTTCCTTGCACATCCAGTTTTTAACAGGTGAGCATCTGAAGATGGCAACAATTCTGGAGCCAAAACTACAAATATTAGCATTCTAATTATGCTTTTTGTTCCCTAGTTACCATTCAGAAACCAATATTGTCCGCTACATGAAACGGCTTGAGAATAAAGATATTTCTCTCGTGCACAGTATGATTCCTTTGGGGTCCTGTACTATGAAGCTGAACAGTTCATCTGAGCTTGCAGTAAGAGAGCACTACTGTTGCCATTCTTGCCAATGGCTGGACCAGATGAGCTTTGACTTAAAGTGGTTATAAACCTCAGACATAAAATTTGAACAAAGCATTTTCCTCTATAGTGTGTGTTTGTCTCAATCCAGGTTACGAAGTGTCATTTTTTTGTACGCTGCCTCGTTCTTCTCTTATAAGTTTGAGTCACTTCTTCTGATGAGGTTTCCTGACACCAAGAGAAAACTGGTGACCGGGGAGGGCACAGCCTGTGATTGACAGCCTCAGGTCTGTTCCTGGGTGCTATGTGAAAGAGTGTCCCTCCTCCAATCAGCTCTCAGATGGAACTTCAGCTCCCCACCCCCTGCTTTCAAAGCTGACATCTGTGTAAATTATGCACTTTACACACAGCAGTCTCTCCTACATCTATGCAAACGGGTAAAACTGATGTAGGAGAGGATCTGTTCCATCTGTGTTAAAAAAAAAAAAAAAAAAAAAAAAATGTGTGGGATGGATGGATAGATAGATATAAAATACATTTTTTTTTTTTTTTCTTTCATAAATTTGAGCCCTGCCCAACCCAGACCTCCTTTCACTACCCTTCTGTATACCTTATTTAGCCCCTTCTTTCTCTTCCCTGGCAACCATCACATACATTCCTCTCTTCCATCACCTCTGCCTACCAACCCCCCTTTCCATATCCCCAATCTTCTCTTTTTTTCTTCTCCCCTGCCTCAATATCTTCAAAGACAGGACTGTAGTGTTTTTTTTTTGTTTTTTGTTTTTTTTTTTTTTGTCACCTCTAATAAAGTAAAAAAAATGTTCAATTAGAAAAATAATTTTACTATTTTTTTTATTTATTATTTGTTTACTTTTTATACTAAATAATAAACCTCTAATCTTTTGATCGGTAATGCCTTAATCCTAAAACATAGACAGCGAAAATATTTAATGCATTTCTTTGTGAATTGGGTCCCTGGAGAAAGTCACATCTGCTGAATCATTTGCAGGCATGAATGAATTTGCAGTTTCCTTGAGGATAACATTAGTTACAGTCTGGTAACAATGTAACCGGTTTGCTCCATGTCTGATTAGTGTACAGGTTTGTGCATTTTTCATGTTTGTAAAGAAAACTTGTTTCTTTTGTAGCCAATTACATGGCTGGAGTTTGCCAACATCCATCCCTTTGTGCCCCTGGACCAGGCTCAGGGTTATCAGCAGCTCTTCAGGGAACTGGAGAAGGATCTGTGTGAAATCACTGGATATGACAAAATCTCATTCCAGCCAAACAGGTTAGAATATAGTGCAGTTAAACAGATATTGTGGCAAGTTATCCATAATTCCTTTTTAAAGAGGTGTAGTAAGTGTCAACACTTCAGATAAAATGTACTTCTATATTTGCAAAATGTAACTTAGGCCTGGTTCACACTAGTGTGGGCACGGCAGCCCATTCATTTCAATGGGCTGCTGTGCTCGCATTTCATGCAAGGAAAAGGTGCATGCATCTATTCCAAAACTTTTTTGACCATGTTTCCATGTGGATCCCACACCTGCGATTGCGCTCTGGGATGAGATGTATGGGGGGTGCCACTCAGAATGAATGGCATCACCACACGTTTTGAAAGAAACGCGATATGGTTGCGGGTGCGGGAATCTCAACGATTCCCACAACCAGCCAGCAGGGTATTGGCTATTTGTGAACCAGGGGTAATTATACAATCTGTGTTAATTTAACAATCCGCTGTATAATTGTGGCTTATGTAGTTCTTTTTGTATAATCAGTGGCGCACAGGGTGAATATGCTGGCCTGGCTGCCATCAAGGCTTACCTGAATGGAAAAGGTGAACATCATCGCACAGTGAGTATGATTCTAGTAAAGTGAAATGTTTATGAAATTGTAAAAATGAGGCTGTAGTAGCATGCAGGTCAAGGTTGCAGATCCACATTTGTGACATAAAATGTGTCTAACTGTACTTGTGAACGCTCCTATTGGCTTCTCATATCTAAGTGTTCTTGCATGGCAAGACCACTTACTGTTATCTCACATATATATTCTTACTATTATAGCCAAATTTACCACCCTAACTCCTCCCACAGTTTTTACACTACGTAGACAGTAATATACCGAAACATGTGGATTGTTCCCGATTGGTGTGCTATTTGTGGAACGTTTCGCTGAATGGTTCACGAAATATCGGCGTTTTTGTGGTGAAATTGGTCCCATAGGAATGAATGGCGGAATGTTCCAAACTAGAGTGGGAGCTGAAAAATCAGGACATGATTTCTAAACTGCCATCACTTTCAAGCCCACCTACACAAATCTTATATCATTTTTTATATTTCAGAGACATACTCTGCATCAACATGTAGGTCTGGGTCTTGTGATTCTCACAATATAAAGATCTTCGGTGTAGGATTTATAATTGTTAAACTACAACCGTTTGAAGATGGCAACCGCCAGTGAAGTGAGCAAGTTGGAGCAGTTTGTTTTTAACTGCTCTTCACTGCTCTTGCTGTAGAGTGAGTTGCCATAGGAACCCAGGTGTGTGAGCAGGCAGCAGAGTGACAAAAGCTAGAGTGTGAGCTGAAAAATCAGGACATGATTTCTAAACTGCCATCACTCCCTCATTTTCAAGCCCACTTACATAAATCTTATATCAAAACATTCAGCACATCTCCAGGGTGCAGCACTGTCTCCATTCAGGAGTACTGCACAGTTATTACAGCTATCATGATCCTGTGTATTGTGTTTTAAGCAATGGTTGTGAACACGCTTAGAGCCTGCATAAACAAGGCATGAGCATTGCCAGGAAACAGTGGTTGTGAATACTGATTATCATCAAACAGATAGCACACCTTCACCTCCATTCTACGTCAAGATGCTGAGACCCCCCAAATGCATGTGGTCATACCCTCATCTGCTAGGCTTGATAATGCTGCTAATGTTTTTATAAATGTATGTTTTAATGTAACTGTGAAGCACTTTGGGCAACAGCATTGCAATTAAATATGCTATATAAATAATTAAAAGTTGAAATGCATTTCTCACTCTATCAAGCTTGCCATGTGCACTTTTTAAATTTGATCAATCAATTGGTTAGTGTAATGTTTACTGTCTTTACTCACTCTAAACACTCCACACAGTGACTCTGCCCAGTCCATAAAGTTACTCTCTCCAGTCCAACCTTTTCACAGTTACTCCAGCCACTCCAACCACACAACAGGTACTCAAGCCACTCCACCCAGTTACTCCGCCCACTTCAGTTGTAGACTACTGGTGGAGGCAAGAACACTTCACACAATTTCCCCAGAAATTGTAGATTTTCTAGTTTAATTAAAGCTGTCTATATACACTGATCCACCATGACATTATTACCACCTATAATAACCTGTCAAGACGTGGACTCCACTAGACCTCTGAAGGTGTGCTGTGGTATCTGGCATCAATCTGTCAGTAGCAGATACTTTACGTCACACAAATGCTCAATTGGATTGAGATATGGAGAATTTGGAGGCTAACCATCTTGAACTTGTTTCCTCAAGCCATTCTTGAATCCGAGAATGCCACCTTTTTCCATTGCTCCATGGTCCAGTTCTGATGCTCACATGCCCATTGTAGGCACTTCTGACTGTGGACACAAGTCACGGGCACTCTGACCAGTCTGCAGCTATGCAGGCCCATACACAACACACTGTGATACACTGTGTATTCTTGCACCTTTTTATATTGGAACCAGCACTAACTTTTTCAGCAATTTGAGCTACAGTAGGTCTTCTATTGGATCAGACTAAATGAGCCAACCTTTGCTCTTGGGCATCAGTGAGGCTTGAAAGCCCATGACCCTGTAGCTGGTTCACCAGTTTTCCTTCTGTGGATCACTTTTGGTGGATCCTGACCACTGAAAACCAGGAACATTCCACAAGAGCTGTAGTTTCAAGACTCTGTGACCCAGTCATCTACCATTTACACTTTGGACCTTGGGAAAGTCACTCAAATCCTTGTGTGTCATTTTTTTTTTTTTTTCTGCTTTCAACACATTGACTTTAGGGACAACATGTTCACTTGCTGCCTAATATATGCCACCCACGTTCAGATGCCATTATAACGAGATAATCAGTGTTATTGACTTTACTGGTCAGTGTTATGTTGTGTTAGTGTCTGTGTCTCTATCTCTACCCTTCATCGCCTATCATCATATAAACTCCTGCATCTGTCAACACGTCAGAAATAATTCTTTTTGTAGGTCTGTCTAATTCCAAAATCTGCGCATGGAACCAACCCGGCAAGTGCTCAGATGGCCGGAATGAAAATTCAGCCTGTAGAAGTAGATAAGGACGGAAGCATTGATTTGGCACATCTGCGAGCTATGGTAGGTAACTCGGTGCACGAAGGAAGCCTTTGTATAAGTAATAGAGCTCTGTCCTGGCCGTGCTTTAATGAGTACTAGTGGCACATTATAATTCACCTTACAGTCTCTTGACTCCAGAGTTACTGGGCTGTGCAGGTTGTTTGGCTCAGATAAATGAGCAGGATCCATTCAAGGATACTATAGATTATTACAAAAAAAAAACAAAAAAACCCCTGGCAGTGGCATAAGGCATGATTAGCTCCAGAGTCTCTGGAGCACAAAACACCTTTCATACTTGTACAGAAAGTTTATCTGTGTACACACATTCACTTTGCCTTTTGTATGAGCTTATGTATAGCACTTGTTTTGTCTGTATAGGTAGACAAACACCAAAACAATTTGGCTGCCATAATGATCACTTACCCTTCCACCAATGGAGTTTTTGAGGAGGGCATAAGGGATGTATGTGACCTCATTCACGAACATGGAGGCCAGGTTTATTTGGATGGAGCAAATATGAATGCCCAGGTAAGCCCCTTTTTTTTCTTTTTTTTTTTTTTTCTTTTTTTTTTTTCCTTCTATCTGGTGAACTACAAATCTATTTTACTGTTCACTCAATGCAGTTTTAAGCAGTGCATAACACATTTTTTGCTTTTTGCAAACATATGCCCAGGTTGGTCTGTGCCGCCCTGGTGACTATGGCTCAGATGTTTCCCATTTAAATCTGCATAAGACGTTTTGTATACCCCATGGTGGAGGAGGACCTGGAATGGGACCAATTGGAGTGTGAGTGACCTGACCCTACATTATGTAATCACTGTTATTAGGTGTTTGTTTTTTGTTTTCTTTTTAATTTTATGGAGTTTGAAAACACACAGGAAAAAGAATAGAGAAATAAGTGTTGATCTTTCATGAACGTACCACTTTTCAATTCTGTGTTTTTAATAATATGTGAACTGTTTTTAGGAAAAAGCATCTGGCACCCTACTTGCCAAATCACCCAGTCATTGCACTTCAGGATAATGATGGCCGGTCCTTGGGTACTGTAAGTGCAGCACCATGGGGTTCAAGTGCTATATTACCCATTTCCTGGGCTTACATCAAGGTATTATTCTTACTTTACACCTCACTAAATTAGCCAATCATTTCATAACTTACTGCTGTTAGTTGTAGCCAATAAGGCCCAACAGAACTTACTTAGTCCTTCCTTTTTTTTTTTTTTTTTTTCTATGGGTTTTAACTAAATTATGTTTTTTCTTGATGGTCTACACCAACAGATGATGGGTGCAAAGGGACTCAAACATGCCACAGAGATCGCTATTCTGAATGCAAATTACATGGCAAAAAGACTAGAAAACCACTACAAAGTCCTGTTTCGAGGATCTAGAGGCAAGTCTGACTTGATATGACTTTCTGCTTCTGATCTTTCACTTTTGGTTTTGGATTGCCATATCACCTGGTGTGTTGGTAATGGTTTTGATATAGTAGATGGTAGGCACAAGATGAATGCTCTCTCCAGGCAGATATAAAATATACTCATATATCAGGTGTGCTACATGTAAATGAGGGTAATAGTATAAACCTCCTGTGCTATGAAGTGGAAAATAAATTAAAAATACCGTATTTTTCGCTCCATAAGACGCACTTCCCCCCCCCCCCCCCCCCCCCAAAACGGGGGAAAATGTCAGTCTTATGGAGTGGCCGGTCCGGTATTTCCACCGCCGCCGTGTCAGAATACCGGGCCGGCCGCTCAGCTCTGCAGCAGGACCTTACCTGTTCCTCTGTCCAGCGCAGCACAGTCTTCCCGTGCCGGCTTCTTTAGTGCGGGCTCTCGGCTTGACAACCGGGTGCCCAGTGCGCATGCACGAGAAGCGCTGCACTTTGTGAATGGCCTGGCGTCTTCTGGGACACATGACAGGTCCCAGAAGGCGCCGGACCAATCACAAAGCACAACGCTTCTCGCGCATGCGCACTGGGCACCCGGTTGTCAGTCAGGTGCCCACACTAAAGGGAGGACAACTCCGCAGAAGTGGGAGCAGGTACCTGTCAAATTCAGGTACCCGCTCCCCCTCCCTCCCCAAAGGTCAGCAGTCTTAGTCATCTCCTGTATTGTCCGCAGTCTCTGGTAATCCCCTATACTGTCCGCAGTCTCTGGTCATCCCCTGTACTGTGTCCGCAGTCTCTGGTCATCCCCTGTACTGTGTCAGTCTCTGGTCATCCCCTGTACTGTGTCCGCAGTCTCTGTGTCCGCAGTCTCTGGTCATCCCCTGTACTGTGTCCGCAGTCTCTGGTCATCCCCTGTACTGGGTCCGCAGTCTCTGGTCATCCCCTGTACTGTGTCCGCAGTCTCTGGTCACCCCCTGTACTGTCCGCAGTCTCCGCAGTCTCTGGTCATCCCCTGTACTGTGTCCCAGTCTCTGGTCATCCCCTGTACTGTGTCCGCAGCTCTGGTCATCCCTGTACTGTGTCCGCAGTCTCTGGTCATCCCCTGTACTGTGTCCGCAGTCTCTGGTCATCCCCTGGTCCGCAGTCTCTGGTCATCCCCTGTACTGTGTCCGCAGTCTCTGGTCATCCCCTTACTGTGTCCGCAGTCTCTGGTCATCCCCTGTACTGTGTCCGCAGTCTCTGGTCATCTGTACCTGTCATCCCCTGTGTGTCCGCAGTCTCTGGTCATCCCCTGTACTGTGTCCGTGTCCGCAGTCTCTGGTCATCTCCTGTACTGTGTCCGCAGTCTCTCTGGTCATCTCCTGTACTGTGTCCGCAGTCTCTGGTCATCCCTGTACTGTGTGTCCGCAGTCTCTGGTCATCATCCGCAGTCTCTGTACTGTGTCCGCAGTCTCTGGTCATCCCTGTACTGTGTCCGCAGTCTCGGTCATCTCCTGTACTGTGTCCGCGCAGTCTCTGGTCATCTCCTGTACTGTGTCCGCAGTCTCTGGTCATCTCCTGTACTGTGTCCGCAGTCTCTGGTCATCTCTGTGTCCGCAGTCTCTGGTCATCTGTACTGTGTCCGCAGTCTCTGGTCATCCCCTGTACTGTGTCCGCAGTCTCTGGTCATCCCCTGTACTGTGTCCGCAGTCTCTGGTCATCTCCTGTACTGTGTCCGTCCGCAGTCTCTGGTCATCTCCTGTACTGTGTCCGCAGTCTCTGTCATCTCCTGTACTGTGTCCGCTGTCTCTGGTCATCCCCTGTACTGTTTCCGCAGTCTCTGGTCATCCCCTGTAAGTGGTGTAGCGCTCATATATAAACCAAATATGTATAAATAAATTAATAATAATATTAATCATAAATGGTGATACATAAAAACCATAAATAGTGATACATAAATATATAGTGACCTGATCCCCTTTGGGATCTTAAAGTGACCAGAAAACTGTGAAATGAAAACCGTGGTGCAATTTGGACCCAATGTGGGTCACACACACAAAGTGCTATCCAATTACCCAAGTCCCTAGTTGGGATCAGTGGCTAAACACAGCCTAAAAAACAAAACAAACCAGTGCCACATACAAGTGAATCCCTGCACTGGGGGATAAACCTCCTATATAAAGTGATTTGTGCTTAGTGAAAAAAACTCAAAGAACTCCAAAATTGTGCACAAAAAAATCACACCATACCTGAAAATCATAACACTCTCCCCCACTGAATAACTCTCAAAATTAATTCCAAAATATTGTCTTAAAAATAATAGTATAGTGAAATATACTGATAAATCAAAAACCAAAACTTAATTATAAAAGTCCAAAATGATGTGCATATATGCCGAGTGTTACACTAATTCTTCCAAAACATGCAGGTGGTGCAGTGGATGTGCATTACAGCCACTGGTGATAAATCCAAAAGTGGCTGAATTTCCTCCTCACCTCCTTACCATGACCCAATGGGCCAGACCGCTTTTGGGATCACAACTGGATCCTTCACGAACAGATTCCCCTTTGTGGTATCCTTCCAAGTAGTAGTAAAGGCTACTTCAGTATAATGCGTTTAGCATCTCAGATCACCTTAAGATTCCCTTCAGATGTACGTACCCGTAATATAGCCAACTCTCATATGGATCATAGTAATGACATGAAAAAGAGATCCTCCATAGTGTAGTACCATTTATTATAAAGCCATAATATTGCCAATTGCCCACTCACTTGATATCAGCAGATAATAAGCATTTCAACCTCATGCTATGGCTGTAGTTTGCATGGGTTTGTTTGGAGTAGCAAGATGGCATCCACGCTGGATGTGAGTCACCACGTGCCTCAGGGATCCTGAGGAAGTCACGTGTTAGTCGTGACGCAACGCGTAGGCACGTGGTGACGCACATCCGGCGTGGACTCCATCTTGCTACTCCAAACAAACCCATGCAAACTACACCCATAGCATGAGGTTGAAATGCTTATTATCTGCTGATAACAAGTGAGTGGGCAATTGGCAATATTATGACTTTATATTTATAATAAATGGTATTACACTATGAAGTCATAATATTGCCAATTGCCCACTCACTTGTTATCAGCAGATAATAAGCATTTCAACCTCATGCTATGGGTGTAGTTTGCATGGGTTTGTTTGGAGTAGCAAGATGGAGTCCACGCCGGATGTGCGTCACCACGTGCCTACGCGTTGCGTCACGACTAACACGTGACTTCCTCAGGATCCCTGAGGCACGTGGTGACTCACATCCAGCGTGGATGCCATCTTGCTACTCCAAACAAACCCATGCAAACGACAGCCATAGCATGAGGTTGAAATGCTTATTATCTGCTGATATCAAGTGAGTGGGCAATTGGCAATATTATGGCTTTATAATAAATGGTACTACACTATGGAGGATCTCTTTTTCATGTCATTACTATGATCCATATGAGAGTTGGCTATATTACGGGTACGTACATCTGAAGGGAATCTTAAGGTGATCTGAGATGCTAAACGCATTATACTGAAGTAGCCTTTACTACTACTTGGAAGGATACCACAAAGGGGAATCTGTTCGTGGAGGATCCAGTTGTGATCCCAAAAGCGGTCTGACCCATTGGGTCATGGTAAGGAGGTGAGGATTCACTTGTATGTGGCATTTATTTGTTTTGTTTTTCAGGCTGTGTTTAGCCACTGATCCCAATTAGGGATTTGGGTAATTGGATAGCAGTGTGTGTGTGTTTACCTCATTGGGTCCAAATTGGACCACAGTTTTCATCTCACGGTTTTCAGGTCACTTTAAGATCCCAGAGGGGATCAGGTCACTATATATTTATGTATCATCATTTATGATTTGTATTACTATTAATATTATTCATTTGTTTATACATATTTGGTTTATGTATGAGCGCTACATTTTATATATCACTTTATATATGTTTAGCATTCACTTATAGGTATTAGGTTGTGGGTGTTAGGAGCTATTTTTAATTTATTTTCCACTTCATAGCACAGGAGGTTTATACTATTACCTTCATTTACATGTAGCACACCTGATATATGAGTATATTTTATATCTACCTGGAGAGAGCATTCATCTTGTGCCTACCATCTACTATATCAAAACTATTTAATATTATTAGATTATTTATTTTATATATGAGCGCTACACCACTTTATATATGTTCTACATGTAAATGAGTTGACAACAAATATGTTGATAGGAGAAAGCAGAGCAAGCAAATGGATACCAATGTAGTCCTTAAAGGGACTAAAAAAAAAAACCCAAAAAGACAAACATTCATACTCTCCTACATTGCTGCAGCTCTCCCCTGCTAGCTCTAAGACCAACAATCAAGCAATCATGTGACCGCTAATCACTTAGTTCTCAGGTTTCACTGAGCAGAGAGCTGTGATTGTCATTCAGCACTCTCTGCTTTGCCCATCCAGCACTCATTGGAGCGCCAAGCTGTGGAGGGGCAGGAGTGGGTGACTCGGGCACTCTGAGAGGCTGAGTCAGCTACCGGTCCAGGCCCAGGGTGGATCCCAACATTAAAGTTGGGTTTCTTCCAGAGCCTAGGCCATCTGTGACATCAGCAGACAGCTGAAATAAAAAGAAGTGCACTCCTGTGCCTCAGAAAAGAAGTATGACCAAACATTCTTTGGCCATACTTCTCTTTTAACTGATTGGGACGATCTACTTGGCTTTGCTGTATGACGGGGCTGAGTAAATGGAAGAAATGGATACAAAACCCATCATTTTTGGAAGGTAAAACTTCCCCCTTTTTATAAGTAGTTGAGATCTAAGAAAAGCCTAACATTATTTTACAGTGGCATGGTACTTCATAGGTAGCAACTGAAAAAAAAAATCCTTTTAGGGCTGGTTCACACCATGTCTGCATCTGAATCACACAGAAGCACACTGTGTTCATGTGTGATTCAACCGCATCCAAAATGCTTTTGCAATCAAAAATTTAACGATACCCCCCAAACGCAGTGCATTTGCCCACACCTGCCTACACTAGATCACATGGTACATTTTGTACATGCCCTACTTTTGGCACAGTGTGATTTAAGCCCATTCAAAATGAATGGGTTTGAAATGGCACAGCACATAGCCACATGTGAATCAAACAGCACACAGTGCTTTTCTGTGCAATTCAGCTGCAGACATAGTGTAAACTGGCCCTTAAGCTTTACGTTAATACAGAAATATTGATATATATCCTTTAACTTGAGAAATTATATAATACACATGCTTAAAATCTAAATTATGGATTTGACATGCTCTTGTTGCAGGTTGTGTGGCTCATGAATTTATTCTTGATGTAAGACCCTTCAAGAAATCTGCAAACATTGAAGCTGTTGATATTGCAAAAAGACTGCAAGACTACGGTAAGTAAAGAAAAAAAAAATCATCTTTCCTGTGATATTGGGGTACCCTTGACTGTGACACTGGTTTTACTGGTGTTTGTGCAACCCTTTTATGCATCAGTCTGCACGGAGATGATTCTTCTGTGATTGTTACCAAAAAAAGAAGAAAAAAAAGTTGAAAACTGCATCACGAGTTACTGCTAAAACCATATGAAAAACATGAAACCTAACCTAAAGACTTCCAGACAATATATCTGCCATTGATTGCCTTTATGCATTAATAAATGTAATGCTGCCACTATTTATTGCTGTTTTTCAAAATGAATGGGTCTGAAAATAAAAATCCACTTTGAGGTTCCATTTTTAGTAGAGTCTTTCTACATACAAATGTCTTTTTGCAGATGAAAGACTTCCTCTATTTTGGAGAAGGCCCAGGCCTTGGGCTGAAATTTTCTTTAGAATACAAATTATCCAATGTATGCATTATTTACCTTCTTTTACATTTTTGAATTTTAATGCTTTGAGGACCTAACTAGAGGTATGCTATGCTAGCTTAAAGGCCATGCTAACTAGCAGATACAATCACTCTAGGTTTATTTTACAAAGTTTAGATCAGTTGTTTGCACCTGTATTAAGATGTTCTGTTACATGCCATCAGCTGTTTAGCAATCTCATTTGTTCTTTCAGGTTTCCATGCTCCTACAATGTCCTGGCCAGTGGCAGGTACTCTTATGATTGAACCAACAGAGTCTGAAGACAAAGCTGAGCTAGACCGTTTTTGTGATGCCATGATCAATATAAGACAGGAAATAGCTGATGTTGAGGAAGGAAGAATGGACTCCAGGATTAATCCACTAAAGGTAAACTAGTAACTGGTTCATGTAAAGTTTGAACATTGAGACCCTAAATTTTCTGCAGCATCCATAGGCCTTTTCGTCATAATTCACATTTGCTAGTGTAGCAACCTCTGGCACACTACATTATGTGCTGAGGTCAGTTTACCTCAGAATCTTTGCAATACCCACAAATAAATGTAAGCAAGATATCATACATGACACAAGAGATGGTCAGAAACTGCAGACATGATGCAAGAGATGGTCAGTGAGACTGCAGACATGCTAAAGGAGTGGCACATGCTTCAGGAGACCGATGTAGACTGGAGACACATTACATGAGACAGCTAGAAATCATTAGAAAATATAAGTTAGTGAGTGCAATCCGACAAGCGACCAATGCACTAAAAGGAACCACAAAACCTTTCTGATAAACTCAAAAATACAAGGAGTGCAGCGCTACATAAAATTTAGTGGCAAAGAAAAATAAATAAAATACAGTAAAATAATATTAAAATAAGTCCATGGAATATCAATGTATGGATTCCTCAGTCCACAGTGAAATATCAGACGTTGTAGGTGCAATCCGGTCTCCCGTTGTGATAATATGAATAGATTGCCTACTCACCAGAAACCCAGTAATAAATGCATATCTGTATCACATGCATCCTAGGATCTTGAATAAAGACAGCCCGGAAATGGAATCCTCTGATGGTCCCTCAGTGGTGTAAGAAAAGGATACCTATCTGGTCTCCAAGTATTTACTTCATCAAGTCTGCAGCAATACCTAAATCACTGGGGCTGAGACATGGAGGCTCAGTGCCAGATATGGAGAATAAAGGTGCTCATAGTGTAGTATTTAAAACTGTAAATTTATTGCATTAAAATCTGAGCAGAGATACATACATAAATGACTGTATATAGTATGAAACTGCTATGAGCAGTAAAAGCACCCAAAAACACTGACCAGTATACATCTAATGTGGGCCGCCGGGCCTCCTGATCCGGGGCTCCTGCACGCTTTGACGCTACGCCGCCGGATCAGGAGGTCCGGCGGCCCACATTAGATGTATACTGGTCAGTGTTTTTGGGTGCTTTTACTGCTCATAGCAGTTTCATACTATATACAGTCATTTATGTATGTATCTCTGCTCAGATTTTAATGCAATAAATTTACAGTTTTAAATACTACACTATGAGCACCTTTTATTCTCCATATCTGGCACTGAGCCTCCATGTCTCAGCCCCAGTGATTTAGGTATTGCTGCAGACTTGATGAAGTAAATACTTGGAGACCAGATAGGTATCCTTTTCTTACACCACTGAGGGACCATCAGAGGATTATCACAACGGGAGACCGGATTGCACCTACAACGTCTGATATTTCACTGTGGACTGAGGAATCGTATATTGATATTACAGTGGACTTATTTTAATATTATTTTACTGTATTTTATTTATTTTTCTTTGCCACTTAATTTTATGTAGCGCTGCACTCCTTGTATTTTTGAGCTAGGAATCATTGCTCGAACAAGGATCGAGGGAAATACAGATTAGTGTTTGCAGAGGCCCTGAGGGCCACACACAAAGTGCACAGGTTTGGCACCAGGGGTTTAATCCACCCCACATACATACTGTATTCCTACACACTGAAACGTGATGGGATCTGTGATCATCCCACAGTAGCAAATCAGATTTTAAAGTGGTTCTAAAAGCTATCTGTTTTTACCTTCATGCATTCCTGCTTTAAGGTAAAAACACCCCACTAACTGTTCCCAACCCCCTTCCCAAATCCCTTAACACTTACTAGCCTCTTCTCATGATCCTGGTCTGTTCCATATGCATCTCTTCTCTGTTCAATTACTGGTCTCATAGGACACAGCCTGATGCTGTTGCTCAAATCTTGTGAGGAGGGGAGGGGTGTGACCGAGCCACTCTGTGTGTATTTATAGATGCACACAGCCCAGCTCGGCAGCACACCCCTGTACAGGTGCCCATTATAGACGTACACAACCCAACTCGGGAGCATGCCCTTGCACAGGGCTTGCTATGGAGACATCCGAAAGAAGAAGTAGACCATACCGTGGGTGACCACCGAAGAACAGGTAAGGGCCTGCTCTGTGTAATGTCATTGCACAGAGCAGGTAAAGCGTAAACCTCCTTTTTTATTTTAATTTAAAATTCTATCCGCTAGAATCACTTAAAAATTTCGCTACATCTATATAGAATTAAACTTACTAGAGGTTTGAATGAAGGTCTATACAACAGAGTGTCTGTTTCTGAAAATGCTTATACCAGGTGCAGAATCAATGCACATTTGCGTGTTAATATCTCTATCTCACAGTGAGTGATGATGTGGGAATCTCTCCTGCAATGCTATTGTGTTCTGCCAGCGGGGAGTTTTCCCAGCCGGCAGAAAACAATGATCACTGTTAGCGGATATAGCCACCAGCCATGATTGATGGACTTTACGACTTTAGTACAACCAGCCTGCCTATGGATGGCTTGAATCTTGGCCGGTTAAGGAGGATTCAGTCCATCTATGGCCAGCTTAAGCTTTGTGGTGACCACTATACATTTAGATTTCTTTTGTGGAGAAATGCAGTTGTTTGATCTGTCAGACATATATTTTGTCCTACAGAAAATGTATACACTGAATACATTTTAACATTTCATAATGTATGTTTTTCCTTTCAACATATTTTGCTGCGTTGACTGAATAAATTAATACTGTTGCATACTTCTTTTCATCTTTTTGTGCAGATGTCTCCACACACCTTGACATGCATTGCATCTTCCAACTGGGATCGACCATACACAAGAGAAGTGGCTGCCTTTCCTTTGGTAAATTTCAGAAATAAAAGCTCATGTAACTTTTTAAAAATTTATAATCCAGTATTTGTTTTATGTGGTACTAAATTTCTGAAATACCAGTTTGAAAAAAAAAAAAATCTAGTTAAATTGGTAATAGAATGGAATAGAGGTGCATACACTAGTACAGTAAGTCCCCTACATGCGAACATTCAAGTTGTGAACTTTGAAAGATGCAAACGTGTTTCCATGTCCAATCATGTAAAGCTGGCTGAACGAAAACAACTGAGATCACCGTACTAACAAAAGCGATGTTAGTGCAGTGATCTCCCCTGCTGTGCCTTTGTGTTCTGACAGGGGGACTCCTTGCAAATACTAACTTTGTTGGACTTGGGAACAAATTAGACTTGTGAGTATTTTTTTTGGAATGGAATATGTTCAAACCGTACTTGTAATATGTCCATTTTCCTTTACCTTTGCAAGTATTGGGACACCCCTCCAAACCATTGGATTCAGGTGTTCCAATCACCGCCATGGCCACAGGTGTAAAAAAAATCAAGCACCTAGACATGCAGACTGCTTCTACAAACCTTTTGTGAAAGAATGGGTCACTCTCTGAAGCTAAGTTAATTCAAGCATGGTACCGTGATAGGTTGCCACCTTGATATTTCCTTGCTATTTAATATTCCATGGTCAACTGTTAGTGGTATTATAACAAAGTGGAAGCAACTGGGAACAAAATCAACTCAGCCACGAAGTGGTAGACCACGTAAAATGACAGAGTGGGGTCAGCGCATACAGAAGTCGCCAGCTGTCTGCAGAGTCAATAGCTAAAGACCTCCAAATTTCGTGTGGCCTGTAGATTAGCACAATACCAGTGTTTAGAGAGCTTCATGGAATGAGTTTCCATGGCCAAGCAGCTGCATCCAAGCCTTACATCACCAAGTGCAATGCAAAGCATTGGATGCAGTGGTGTAAAGCTCACCACCACTGGACTCTAGAGCAGTGGAGACATGTTCTCTGGAGTGTCAAATCGCACTTCTCTGTCTGGCAATCCGATGGATGTGTCTGGGTTTGGTGATTGCCAGGAGAACGGTACTTGCCTGGCTGCATTGTGCCAAGTGTAAAGTTTAGTGGAGGGGGGATTATGGTGTGGGTTGTTTTTCAGAGATTGGGCTTGGCCCCTTAGTTCCAGTGAAGGGAATTCTTAATTTGTCGGCATACCAAGGCATTTTGGACAATTTCATGCTCCCAACTTTGTGGGAACAGTTTGTGGATGGCCCCTTCCTGTTACAACATGACTGTGCACCAGTGCACAAAGCAAGGTCCATAAAGACATGGATGAGTGAGTTTGGGGTGGAAAAACTTGACTGGCCTGCACAAAGTCCTGACCTCAACCCTATAGAATTCCTTTGGGATGAATTAGAGCAGAAACTGCAAGCCAGGCCTTCACGTCCGACATCAGTGCTTGACCTCACAAATGTGCTTCTGGAAAAATGGGCTAACATTCCCAAAGACGCACTCCTAAACCTAGTGGACAGCCTTCCCAGAAGAGTTGAAGCTGTTATAGCTGCAAAGGGTGGGCCAACTCAATGTTAAATCCTACGGACTGGGATGCCATTAAAGTTCATGTGCATATAAAGGCAGGTGTCCCAATACTTTTGGTAATATAATGTGTCTATAATACACTGCTCAAAAAAAATTAAAGGATCACTTAATCAGAGTATAGCATCAAGTCAGTTAAACTCATGGGATCTTGATCTGGTCAGTTAAGCAGCAGAGGGGGTTGGTAATCAGTGTCCGCTGCTTTTAATGTTAATGAAATGAATAGGTGCACTGGATGGGCAATAGTGAGACAACTCCCAAAGCAGGAATGGTTTTACAGGTGGAAGCCATTGACATTTTTCCCTACTCATCTTTTCTGTTTTTCACTAGTTTTGCATTTTTGCTAGGGTCAGTGTCACTATTGGTAGCATGAGGCTACAGAGGTTGCACAGGCAGTCCAACTCCTCCAGGATGGCACATCAATACATGCCATTGCCAGAAGGTTTGCGTTGTCTCCCAGTACAGTCTCAAGAGCATGGAGGAGTTTCCAGGAGACAGGCAGTTACTCTAGAAGAGATGGACAGGGCTGTAGAAGGTTCTTAACCCATCAGCAGGACCGGTATCTGCTCCTTTGTGCAAGGAGGAACAGGATGAGCACTGTCAGAGCCCTACAAAATGACCTCCAGCAGGCCACTGATGTGAATGTCTCTGACCAAGCAATAAGAAACAGACTTCATGAGGGTGGCCTGAGGGCCTGACATCCTCTAGTGGGCCCTGTGCTCACTGCCTGACACCATAGAGCTTGATTGACATTTGCCATTAAACACCACAATTGTCAAGTCCGCCACTAGCGCGCTGTGCTTTTCACAGATGAGAGCAGGTTCACCCTGAGCACGTGACAAACGTGAAAGGGACTGGAGAAGCTGTGGAGAACTGTGGAGTTATGCTGCCTGTAACATCGTTCTGCATGACTGTGTAGGTGATGGGTTAGTGATGGTCTGGGAAGGCATATCCATGGAGGAATGAACAGACCTCTACAGGCTAGACAATGGCACCCTGACTGCCATTCGGTATCGGTATAAAATCCTTGGACCCCCTATCGGACCCTACATTGGTGCAGTGGGTCCTGGGTTCCTCCTGGTGTATGACAATGCCCGGCCTCATGTGGCGAGCGTATGCAGGCAGTTCCTGGAGGATGAAGGAAGTGTTACCATTGAATGGCCCCCACGCTTGCATGACCTAAATCCAAATCCAATAGAACACCTCTGGGATATCATGTTTTGGTCCATCTTATGCTGTCAGGTTGCACCTCAGACTGTCCAGGAGCTCAGTGATGCCCTGGTCCAGATCTGGGAGGAAATACACCAGGACACCACACGTAGTCTCATTAGGAACATGTCCCGACATTGCCAGGCATGCACACAAGCACGTGGGGGCCATACAAACTACTAAGTACCATTTTGAGTGGCTGCAAAGAAATTTCAGCAAAATGGACTAGCCTGCTGCATAATTTTTTCACTTTGATGAAAATGATCAACCTACAGAGGACTGAATTCAAAGACACCCAGAAAAACAAACTATGGGGCATCCTTGCGTTCCTAACACACTACCCAGTCCATATCAGTATAGATATCCAGCATGATATTTTTCCCCATTGAGATCTGATGTGTTTTCATAGTGTTCCTTTAATTTTTTTTTGAGCAGTATATATTATATTTGTAAACCTGCACCCGGAGAGCAGGCAGACTCCATGCAAGTAGTCCGTTAGTTGGGCTTAAACTGAGGTCTTTAGTGCTGCAAGGCAAAAGTGCTAACAACAAGGCACTGTATTTCGCATATACATAGTCATTTTTATTCCTGTGCACATGTTTTTAATTCAATGACCTTTTGGAATAAAAAGTTAATGTGTACACTTTTTTTTTTTTTTCCCTAGCCTTTTGTCAAGCCAGAGAGCAAATTCTGGCCCACGATAGCGCGAATTGATGATATCTACGGGGATCAACATTTGGTCTGCACTTGTCCTCCTATGGAGGTGTATGAATCTCCATTCACGGAACAGAAGAGGGCTTCTTCATAGTATTACAGTTTAGTGTTTCATGTTATGTTCCAACTACCAATACAAACCTTCCATTCAGCTATACTGAGAGCAACAATTTTGCTATTTTTAAAGGGAACCGGTCATGAAAGAAATATGGGGGATACCATTGCTAATCTTTTAAAAATGCTAGTAGTCCGGCTATCATGCTGACATAGATTTAATGGTATATCACTTACCTGACGCAAGAATGCAAGCCATCTCTGTACTTATTGGTGACTGAGTATTGAAGCCATTGACTGCCAGTCAACTAGCATTTTCAGATAAACTTCAGCAATAGCAGTCTTGTCTTATATAACTGTCTCAACAGGTTTCCTTTTAACAACAGTAAATATATGTATATATTTTTTTAATATTGTCATTTGGTGTGCATTTCAGTGTATAAACAAGACTGTTAATAGTAATCATGCAACTGCAGAAAAGGTAATTGCCAAATACCAATATTTTATAGGTACGTATAGTTTTGGCAACTGCTGTTTACAGTACTGCAATGAAAGGCAAGTTGTCGGACAACTGACATTGTTGTAAATATGCAAACTCTTTGCAGTAGTCAAAAAATGTGTTTTTTGTTTTTTGTTTTTTTTTTTTATTTGTTTGTAAACCTTTTTGTGCTAAACTGTGTACTTTCAGTTCAGACAGGAGTAAATATTTGAACAGTTTGGATCATTGTATAAGTCCTGACAATGTAAATATATTTCTTACAGATGTACATGGTTTTTCAGTGTAATTCTTAATAGCAGAGGGATATCCCTGTATGACAGTTTTTTTCATAAACTTGACTGTAAATGATTCACTTTAATACTTAAATTTGGTTCAGATAAATGTGTCGCATGGTATAAAATTCTTCAGTCATGGAATCTTACCAAGCCCTGAATGTGCTTGTCGATCTCATTGTTTGATCTGTAGGGGTTTTCTCATTTTCATAGTGCTGTACATGGAACATCAACTGTGGTCCATGAACCTGTAAGTCAATGAAGAACTTTAAAACGTGTGGAAAAAAAAGTAAATTCTTGGAGCCACTGGCAGGAAGGGAATCTGGGAAATAAAGCAAACGCATTAATCTTACAATACCTAAAGCATAATATTCTTCCTTTTAGTTACATTGCAATAATTTATGAAGTCGCATTAAGTATGTGATAAATGTTTTGTATTTCCGGTTATGCTACAAATTGTGGCTTTGTATCATGATTTGTTTTTTGGTTATTCATTTTTTTAAAAGTCAGCATTCCAATACATCTTTGTCATCCCAGCATTATCATATCGGCAATAGCAGTTTTTAATTTCTCTCCACTCCAGAAAAACTTGCAGGTAGCTGTGCCCTGTCCTATCACAAAGGCCCCCTCATGTGCAGTGTGCTCTCTCATAGCAGCAGCTGAGGTCTGTGATGTTGCGACAAGAGCAGAAAGTGTATTGCGCATGCATATGGGGTTGGCAGAGGAGAGCACTCCAACCTGGGATGCTGGGGGCGAGTGCCCAATAGTTGGAACATCCTAGTAACAGAAATAGATGGGCAAAGCTACTTGTCAGAATTTTTTTGGGCCAGGCTTCGGGGGAATGAGAGTGGCTTACAGGTATTGCTATCTATCTAGGCATATATTATTATTATTATTATTATTATTATTATTATTATTTTTTCTTTTTTTTTTTTTTTCTTTTTCTTTTTAAGCTGCATAGGGTTATTGAACATACCTAAGCCCCATTGACTGCATGGTGTATTGTTAACTAACCCTTTAGCAAACCAGTTGTATGAAAACTGCAAGGACACCCAGTCAGTTTTGAGTTTCAACATTACGTATGTCATGTGTGGGCTAGAATAAACTTCTGATCAGTTTTGAAGAGTTTAAACATAAAACGAAACAACTTAGAGAAGTTTGGTAGTTTATGGAATCTCAATAAGAATTTTGTACTTGCCATAAAATCTATTTCTTAAGGTTCATTAACCACTTGCCGTCCGCCTGCTGTTTATAAACGGCAGGGCGGTGTCACTCCAGGGGCGGGTTGCCATTCATAAACGGCACCCGCCTTTTCTAGCTGTGCGCACTCCCTGGGAGCGCGCAGCACCGCGATCCGGTGCCCGCTGTGTCCTCTGGACACAGTGAAACACCGATCGTCGGACGGGACCTCTGTACGAGGTCCCGATCATGTGATCACTGATTGGCCAATCAGTGATCACATGCAAAGTAGTAAGCAAGATGTCACTTGTGACATCATTGCTTACTACGTGTGAAATCTGTGAATGATCACAGAGGTCACATGGTATAAGGCTATTCACAACAGCCTTGTACCATGTGACAAGGTGTGACCAATCACAGCTAACTCAGTATTTCTCAATGGCTGCAAGAATGCAGACAGAAAGAGAAATGATTGCTTTTACACCCATATAGGATGTAAAAGCAATCACTGTAAAAAAAAAAAAAAAAAAAAAAAAAAACATCACCCCCCACAAGTAGTACAGTGTCACCATGGTGACACTGTACTGCTAGGGTGACGGTATATAAAAAAAAAAAACCTAAATAATATAAAAATGTAAAAAAAAGTTTAAAAATTATAATTTTTGGTTATACTAATTTGGCATTTGGCTTTTTTTTTTTTTTTTACTAAAAATATAACGGAATACATTTTTGTCAAGATTTATGATGAAAGATTATTTATTTGCAAAACTTTATAAGAAAAACACTTTTTCAAAATTTTTGGACATTTTCATTTACATAGCAAAAAAAATTTAAATCCCAGCGGTGAATAAGTACCACCAAAATAAAGCTTTATCTGTCTCAAAAAAATGGTAAAAAATTCATATGGGTACAGTATTGCATGACCGCGCAATTGTCATTTAAAGTGTGATAGCGCTGAAAGCTGAAAATTGCCCTGGACAGGAAGGGGGTAAAAGTGTCCGGACAGGAAGTGGTTAAGGAATTTCGAAATAGGTTATACCTTCACCTACAGGCTGTGACATGAGCAAACCGATGTAAGCCAGCCCCTGAAATATGACTTCCCTACCAACATGCCAGTGTTGTGGGCAAGCAGTACACAGGACTAATAAAACACACTTGTGTCCCTCGGTTGACTTAAAGAAATGAATTGTACAGTAAATATAAAAAAATCCCCTTAATGAACATTGAGGCACACCGGATGAAGTAATTCAGGTACACTTTGTTATGCTGCTCCTTTTATTAGGAGATTGGACACTGGCAAAGAAATCAATAAGGACAGCCCCTCACACTCCCATATAGAGATTAATGTGGATAAGGGAGTGCTGGATCATCTACCCGGTAGGGGTTAGTAAATGGTCCTTGTGAAAATATCAAAGGCCATCTTTAATGGAAGGCTTGTGGGTATGTGGGCTTGTAAGAGGAGGTAGCCGGCTGTGAGAGCTTGTAGATACTCTTTTTATATGCAGGTAGAGAAGAGAGACAGTGGTGCCACTCTTAGTGTAGAAGGTTTTAAAAACTGGCAAATTTAATGATAAAATGCACTCACAAAAGTAGATCATATTAGGCATATCATGAGGAATGGAGGTTCCGCTGGAGCAGAATGTCCTAAGCCGCACTCTGGGTGTATCCATGCCGCTCCGCTGGTGTCCAGGGCTCGGGGAGTAGCAGAGAGGTGCAGGGGGGCTCACTCGGATGGCGTCACAGCACTGACCGGATTTCCAAGATGGCATGCGTTCGGAGCATGCGTGCTCCTTTGTCAGGCCTGAGATTCTGCTCCACCGAATCTCCATTCCTCATGACATGCCTAATACTATCTACTTTTGTGAGTGCATTTTATCATTAAATTTGCCTGTTTTTAAAACCTTCTACACTTAGTGACAAGATTGTTAACTTGTCTTCAGACCTGAAAGTGCATTTTAACATGTATGCAAAAATAGCTCTGGCAAGGTAGAGGAACCTGCTGGTGCTTATTTGGCCTGGCTGTCCTTAAGCCCTGGTTCACACTGATGCGGTGCAGCACATTGCATGTGATTCACACAGGAACTGCACTGCATTCCTGTGTAACGCATATGTGATTTCTCTGCAGTGCAATTTGAGCCATACATTTTGTATGGCTCAAATCGCACCGCATCCGCACCAAAATAGAGCAGGACACCTTTTTATTTTTTAATATTTGACTGCACAAGAATTGGATCGCATGGGTGTTCACACACACATCACATCGCGTTTTGCGAACCAGTTTTGTGGTGTTGTTAACTTAAAATGCACACCCGCAGTGGTTTGCATGAACAGGGTGCGATGATGATGCGGTGTGGAAATCACACAGAAACCGCTGTGAATTCCGCACCACATCAGTGTGAACCAGGGCTAAATGTTGCAATGGCTTTTCAGTGTGTCCCCTTCTGGTGGTCCTACTGCACATTTTTAATATAATACTGGTATGTCAGTATACTTTGTTTCCTTACTACCATCTCCTCCATGTTTGCATGAGCTCCATGATCTTCCCAATGATATTTGGGCTCTCTTGCCTTACAGTGCCCAGGTCAAAGATGGTATTAATCCTGCCTGTGGGCGTACCCTTGTGGGCAGTCTCGCTCTATACCTAGCATGAACATGATCACAGGGGACCTTGCCAGGGTACAATCCTCTATTCTTGCCAGTTTTCTAAGGGTTCTTGCTAACAAATCTGAAACTGATAGTCTGGCCCATAGCCCTCTGTTTGAGCTGCAATGTTCGTCGGTCATCCGTAACCCATGTAGTGGTAAGTGGAAACTTCTCTGCTACTATGAGTTTTTGGGCAATTGCAGCCATGATAGCAGACTCAGAATGCAGGGACTGCAAGCATATATCCATTTCCTCACCGCCAAAGCCTGTCTAATTATTTTTATTTTTATTTTTTCTTGGGCTGCAGTTGCTCTGGCACAGCCAGCTGGGGATGAGGATTGTACTTTATCCTTATTTGGGAAATTGATACAGGAATCCTATTCTGCTTACAACCTTAATGATAGCTTTTTGGTTGTATTGATGCAGTCCACACTTGATTTAACTGGG